CTATCAAACCAATCTGCCAGCGAATTCTTCTGTTCCCACCTGCACAATATTTCTGATCGATTGATACCTCATACTACTTTATATGTTCAGCCGTTTGCCCTGTAGACGTTGGCATAGAATTGACATAAATTAGGACGATTTTTCAATGTTAAAACTCGGTGTCCTGTTATTATACGTTAGTGGCTATTTCGCTATTTTTACTCAGTTTTTTTTTTTTACTTAGCTTCGCGCCACTACCGTCGCGCTGGATTATATTATATACTTCATCATTTTGCAATTAAGATTCTGCTTTTTTCAAAACCCCAAATTATATTATATTTATACCTTAGTAGGTTAGGTAGGTTAGTATAGGTATACCTTCATATTATACCTGTTTAGTGGGTGTTTGTGAGTCGTGTCGATTATAATATGTGGTTTTACTGTGATTTACTTATTATTGTTTATTAATTATTATTATGAGTTTGTCAACTCAGAGTTATTTATATCGAAACATAATTCAAAATGAACATACTGAGATGTACGAACATTTTCTAAACATACGCGGTTTATTACCAATCGACCAAACATGTACAAAAATTAAAAACCAAACAATTTGTGGTGGTGTGTTGAAAAAAGTTCTAAAAAATAATCGAAAACGTGATTCAGAAGGTAATATTTTGAAAACAATTTATAATCGATTTACAAAAAAAGGGTGCCAAACATTTTACTCCATGCGGTGGGTTTGTTCGGAAAACGCTGTTACGGTTATCGCTAACAGTTGGTCTAGTTTTGAGTATTACGTGGAAATCGGAAGCTCTTTTTTTCAGAGCCGGTTTTCATATTGACCAGTTATCGAATTTCACTTAAATAGGTAATTTGGCAAAATAAAATATTGTTAAAACAAGTCCTAGTGGTGCACGGAACAGGACCGCGTTCGATTCCAGTCTGCAGAATTCAGTTTTGCACTTTTTTTTTACCATTTTCATATTAAAACGAAAAAAATGTTTAAAAAAATAAACTTGTCGAACCATAGGTTAGGTCATCTGTTATGAGTATATTTCTGTTTTGTCAGACACCCTTTTTTTTTGTTTCAACGTACTATGTAGAAGCACGCTGAATGTGACGAATTCGGCGGTGGTTTGGTTCTGAAATTATAGTCATTTGAAGTCTAAGATCCGCCGAAGGATGATTTTACATAACAAGTAGGTAACTCTTATTAAAAAAACAACTGAAGTGCCTATGTAAAACAAGTAAACTGTGTGTTAGTATATACCTATTATTTAAATTTTAAAGATTTTCTTGCTGAATTTTTTTTTAAAATTAGATCCAATGTAAAAAAGCGAGTGTAAGTGGATGTCAGTCTGCTGAACATTAGGAGTCTAGGTCACTGACCACTGTAGTATGGATGGTATTAAAGTCGAATTCAGTGATATGATATCATTGTATACGAAAAACTATTCTGAGCGGAGACGGTATTCTAGGATATTTTATATTGTAATTACTTATTAGTTATTAGTTATAAATTTAGGGCACGGGTGATGTTGCATTTGCAACTTTTTTTCTAATTTTTCAATTATTTGCTAAGTAAGTTTTAAATACGTTTCATGTAAGTACAAATTCAAATCTAAAAGTTTTATGTACACATTTTTGGAATTTTTGGAATTTTTTCAATTTTAATTGCAATTTTGTAGAATTTACTCATTTATACAACTATTTTAGCAATATTTTACATTTAATGGTCGTATGGGTAAGATTAAACCATAATATCTCCAGCCATAAAATCCAATTAGTAGTATAGCATACACGGTACAGTAATATCTTATCGAAATAAAGATAAAATCAAGTAGATAGGTATTCAATGCAATACAAAAATAATTTGTGAAATGTGACTGATTGTATAAAATGTATTTTGTGAAATCGAGATTTCAATCCATGAAAAACTTAAGATAGTTATTGAAAAGAATACCGGATTTAAAACCATTATTAAAATCAATGATATACTCACTGGACAAGGAAAATCGTTCGATGGTTTACCCGATGACTTAACAGTAAGCGATTTAGCTTGTTTTAAATACGCTCCGCTTACATCAACCGACGTAGAACGAAGTTTTTCGAGTTATAAGAACTTACTAGCACCAAATCGAAGAGGGTTTGATTTCGAAAATTTAAAACAAACACTTATAGTACAGCACAATGATGTATAATATAATAAATTTATGATGGCATGATTATAATATAATGCATATATTTTTTTTTTGAATTATTTAAAATTTTAGATTATAATTTATAACAGTAAACTTCAAACATTTATAACAAAACGTTGTTATTTTTTAGTGCAATTTTTAATATTTTAAGTGCAATTTTTGGTATTTTTTAGTGCAATACTGCAATAAATTTTACTATTTTTTTAGTACACAACATCCGTGCTCTAGACTTAAAATTAATACGATAGCCAGTAATTGAATTAATATTATACTTAAGTTATCAGTGATGCTGGAAAAACACACTTATGTTAAATTGGGCTGTTTTGGACCGAATTACAACAAAATTACCAAAGTCGTTATTTTTTGTGTTAATATGTTATTTGTATTAAATTTTCAAATCTTAGATATGAGAAGAAAAATTATTTTAAAATAATTTGCAAATTTTCAATTTACTATTTAGACGCTCATAAAAAATTATTGCGGACTTCAGCACAACTTTTTTTTAATATCCACAAACAACTAATTTATGAGGAACCTTGTATTATATTTTCAAGTATTTTTTCTAGATATTAATCAACAACATAATAATAGTTATAGATAGACTATAGATAGTTCAACATGAGTCAAAATATTTTTAAAATTGTATGGTATATAGAAAATTCTATACAAACATTCAGTAAAAATGTCATGTATCTATGGTCATTTTTTGTAGAGTTACAATAAAAACCAACATCGATTTGTTCGAAAACTGGTTTTGAGTAAAAATTTCAGTTTTTCTTAATTTTTTGTTTGTTTTTCCTATCGTTTTTGAAAACTATTAGGAAGTTTGAAATTTGAACACTCATATGCACCAACTAGATTTACTTTCCAACCAGAAAAGTTGCTGTTGAAGAATAACAAAGCACATTTACTGCCCCAAACCGTGATGACAAACACAAAAATAAAAAATAAATAAAAAACACACATCATTGTAAAATCAATAGGTACATATTACATTTATTGCTCCGCTCAAAATCTAAAAGAAAATGTTTTAAATATACAATGATTTATTTAATTACCAGAAGCATAATGTTTGACAACCAACAGTACTTCCAAATACTAGAAAGCTTTTAAACATTTAATAATGATCTATCAGGTGCCTAAAATCTTACAAATGATGAGTGAATATTTCAAAGTACATTTTTTAGCATGACTTAATTCAAATTGGTCTAGAAAATTAATGCTTACCTAACAATAATCTACAATTTAAATGATTTTTCTTTTGAGTACTTCAAGAAATATCCAAAACAACCTCTGAAAAGTTCAATCTGTAATTTGTTGGGAAAATTTATAAAAAAGTCTATTAAAAAAGAAAATTGGAATAGATTTAAGGGTCTTCAAAATAGTCATAGTGTAATATATTCTAGCTCTAATAATGTAGATAAGGTAATAGATAATATTCAAACTCATCTCGACGCAGTTCAAAAATGGGCACAAAGTTGGAAAATTGCACTCAACCCATCAAAAAGTTCAGCAGTCCTATTCATGTTACAAAGACCCAAAAACTATAATACATTAAAGTTCAACGGTCAAAACATAGCTTGGTATCACAATATTAAATATCTTGGAGTTTTATTAGATAAAAAACTCACTTGGAATCCTCATATATCATTGAAATTACAGGAAAGATACCAATACTTAAAAATATTATATCCACTTATAAATCGGCAAACTTCATTGAACTGGAAGTGCTCACTATTATTATATAAACAAATAATTCGGCTTTTAATTTTATATGCAGCCCCGGTCTAGGGTCAATGTGCTACAACTCATATACACAAAATGCAAGTATTTCAATCAAAAGTCCTACGTGTAATTTCAAATGTCCCATGGTTTGTCCGAAATGGCGCACCGCACACAGATTTCAAAATTCCAACTATCAAAAACTACATAAAAGAATTATCGGTAAGCTTCTTTAACAAATTATTTAAAGCAAGTTGTCCACAGCACTTCAGGCTTCAGCGATTCACCCGCCCAAACAGTCGCAGACTCCAACGCGGCTGTCCACACGACGTCCTAAATCTTTAATCTACTATTGTATTATGTAATTATTGTCTCATATTTTATTATTTTTATTATCTGTTAATGTTTCACAATCTTATCCTATTCAGTATATTTTAAATCATAGTTTTAACTATTTATATCATAATTGTGATCTAATTTATAAATGTTAAAACATAATTAATTCTTTACAACTAAGTTTACATAATGTCGACTGTCAGGAAAACTTTATATTAATAATAAAAAAAAAATAGTCATTGCTTACAAGACATAGAAAATTCTTTAATTGCATACAAACTGTTTAGTATCAAAAATTATGGTGCTATTTAAATTAGCAAATTTAATAAATTAAAGAACATTAATAAAAACAATATTTAATATTTTGAAAATTTTAACATTCAAATTTAAAAAAAGAGCAACTGTATTTGTTTTATTTATGAGTTATATCTAGGTATATTTTATTACATACAATTTATCAAATAAATCTGTAATTATATTTTTAAAAGTAATGTTAATATAAATGGCTTTTACTGTAAATTGCCATAATAACCCTAATTTGGCTTTAACAATTAAAAAAAAGGTATAATTAATATTATAAAACAAAGATATCTAATATAATGGAAACATTTAAAGACTAATGAATCTTTATAATGACTTAGGTAGTTAGTAACTTAAATAATAAATAATAAATATATTTCTTTGCATAAACAAAAGTGTATTAACAAATATAAATTCAGTCGTGACATACTAAAAAAAATTTAAAATAAAATAATAAAAATATCTTACTTGATAAATTATTGAATTACATTTTGGGATAAATTTGTTTCTTTATATTTTAAACTTTTTTACCAGATAAATATTTTTCACACGTAGTGCACTCGTACATTTTGTTTTCCTTTTTCTGCGGTTGGTGTACGGAAATATTGTGTTTGTCCATAGCTTCTTCAGTTGGTAAGACAATATGGCAAATACCACACTCAATTTCAATCATGTGCTCAAGATCAGAATGTTTGTGTTTTGCCGCGTATGTTGGGAACTTGCAATCACAATAATCACAGCTGAATTTACTTGAGGGACTTGCATAATGTACTACAAAATGATCTTCCATTTCGATTAAGGTATCAAAATAAGCATTGCATATGACACATTGAAACTCTAATGGAGTCATATGGAATTTATGATGGTTTTTAGTGTGACGATCAAGACTTCTTTTGTTTAAATATTTTTTGTCGCAATATTTACAATCGTGGGTTACATTACGATGCATTGAAGTTACGTGTTGCTTAAGTAGTCCCGAAGTTTCGTAATAAGTTGAGCACTCGGAACACTTGAAACCACCGGTGTTTAAATGAAAGCGAGCTTGATGACTAACTAAGCACATCATTGTTTCTGCTTCAAAATTACATTCATTGCAAATATATACACCTTTACTATTTTCAACAATAACCGATGGTTTTTCATTGACTATTTCATTTTCAATTTTTTTTTTTTTTGATTTACATTTGTTACCGTCAAATAAAGACTTATCTGAATTTTGTTTGAGATCAACTGATACTCTTTTCTTTTGCTATAACAAATAACATACACTTTAAATGAAATTTTTCTACGGTTTTAATTTTTTTTTAATATTTGTACACATACGTTGTTAGTTTTTGAACCTTGATAGATGTTTAAATTCCCACTCAATTTTTTTTCAATAACATCTGAATTTTCAGTGTCATCATTTATGATCTCAATGCAACTATCAAATGATTCAGTTGAGGAATCTTGTTCTTTCATTTCTAATTTGTATGTAATCTAATGAAGTAATAACAAGTTAATGAGAACATTCATATATTGTATAATAACACCAATTACATTTAATGGATCATCTGATACTCGACTATAAGTTAAATGTATGTTCTGGTGAAAGTTCCTTGATAATTCCAAATCACATGATATTGCTTTACTTTTGAAGTTGTAGATAAAATCAAGATTTTCAGCACAAGTTGTACAAATATTCTGAGGAAAACCATCACCCACTTTCACCTGAAAAGTCATAATTTGTATTAGATTTGTATTATAATATATGAGTTAAATTAAATCCCCAACAAAAACATAACAGTGAAAAAAGGCCAAGTTCCAAACTCCCTTCTAAAAAAGTCGGCCTATCAAAGTAGTGAAAACTACATTGTGACCAAGTTTGCTATTTTTTAATTCATAACCTCAATGCACTCCTACATTAAAGATCAACACTTCTCTTTTATTTGTATTGTTTAACACTTGGTCAGTTTCTGAATGAGGAATAAACTAGACTTGGCCGCAATGTAGATACCACTACTTACTATGATTCGCTGTCTTTTTTGAGAAGAAATCTAAACCTTTTACTTTTTTCTGAATCTTCTTCTCCCCATCATCCTCGTAAGTCATAAGTGAGCACTTTCGATAATGATGTTTTATTCCTCATTCAGAAACTGACCAAGTGTTAAACAATACAAATAAAAGAGAAGTGTTGCTCTTTAATGTAGGAGTGTATTGAAGTTATAAATTAAAAAATAGCAGACTTGGCCACAATGTAGATTTCACTACTTTGATAGGCCGACTTTTTTAGGAGGGAGTTTGGAACTTGGCCTTTTTTCACTGTTATGTTTTTGTTGGGGATATCATTTATTTTTGTGGGCTTCAGCGTCGTGGACGACGTGTTGTTATTATTTATTTTTTCATACGTCTTAGATTTTCTCTTGTAAGACCGTTTGGGTTACTGTTGAGGAGCTGGGAAATTAGACTCTTGAGCGTTGTCAATACCAGTCAAAGATACCCAAGTACGGTCTTTTATTTAAAAGCTGCAGTTAATAGCTGAATATTTGAATAAAATAAATGTACAAAAACATGATTATGTTTTATAAATATACATATATATATATATAATTTAACTACAAACAATTTCTTATTGCCATATTGTAACACTGTTTGAAAGTAAACGTTTATGCGTGCTAAGCGCGCCACTTCATACGTTTAGAAATACACACTCTGGAGAGGCATTCACTTTGAAAAAGTTCAATTTTTAGATTTTTCCCTTTAGTTACGCAGTAAAATCTACCTTTGTGCCAAATTTCACGTTTCTACCTATACGGGAAGTGTTATAATTTTGATGATCAGTGAGTGAGTGAGTGAGTCAGCAACAATATTGCAAATTTTGAAATCCTGCCATTTTGAAATGGCAAAATATTAAGGGCTCATTTTCTTACAGCGTCCTAAGCTACTAGAGATTAATCTGTGTTTTAAATTTCAAAAGTTTATCTTAAGAAGAAACAGAGATATATGGGTTAGAAAAAAGGGCAAATTGGTTCGTGTAAAGATATACTGGCATTGCTGTAACTTGGTTTGGCGCACTACTGTGCGCTCAGATCATAACACTATAAGTAACTTATCATCAATGTTGATAAGTGATTTCTATGGTGTAATGGGTTACAGTTTCGACTTATTCAGTTTCTATTGCGAAAAGAAAAAAAAACTTTAAATATGTCTATGCAAGGGGGTTAAGGACTAAGGTACATAAATCTTATTTATAATATATACATATATTTAATTTTAACTGCCACAATTTAGTTTTCTATGATGTCCATTTGGACCGTATATTACGAGAACAGTTAATTCAATTAATCATATAATTTGGTTTCTCTAAATATGACAATAGGTGCACACTAACCTATGAATTCAGAGCATAGTAGAGTGGAAGTTTTTTATTTTTATACGTTCTTAATAACTATTAATTTCTATACATTTTACTTTAACATTATTAACACTCAGCTAGTAGTTAGTGGTTGAAGTGGCACAAAATATGTGGAGGGATGTCTTTCATAATTTATATATAGTTGTCATATAACGCTTAAACAGTCGCACAAAATAAGATAAGTGATGCTATCCTACTGTATCTCCCCCCCCCCACTTCGACCAATGCTAGTAGTCGTATAATTGCAGTATAATATATAATTTATTTTTAATACTCTAATGAATTCAGAGCTGTACAAAAGTTATTCAATTTTAGAATATTTACTATTTTAATATTAACAATTTACAGTATACAACTGGAATAAATTACAGGAAATTTAATGTTAGTACAAAATTAAATCAATGTATGTGAACAACATACTAAACGAATACTAACAGTTAGTTAATAAATTACTTAATCAAGTATAATATTATTTTGTTCTTCAACCTTATAATTAATAGAAAATCAATGTGACAGATTGATAGAATTTAATTTAACTGTATTTTAATTTAGTATTTTGAAGAACAGATATTGATTAGGTTCAACAAAATACTGTAAATCATTTACAGTAGGTACTAAAACCTTCAATTTAACTTTTACTGACAGTGATAATAAATAAATGACAAAACATACGATTAGTGAAGTACAGTATTGAATTTTTTCAACAATTGATGTATTTTTGTCCAAATGCTGCCCTATGTGAACTGTTACATTGGTAGAGCTGAAACATAAACGGCAGTGATCTAATTTCTCGTTCGTTTCAATTACAACTACGAATTCTTCCATATTAAAAAATGATCAAAATACTTGAGTTTGGAAATAAATTAAACAATTCATAGAAGAAAGCGGGAATGAAATCATTTTAAATGAAAAAAAAATAAAAACCGGGAAGATCACGGAACCTATAATCATAACTACGGCCTGTGTGTATTAACGAGTAACGACTAACGACATCGATACTCGATAGGGTTTGATAACCACGGACAATCATATGACCATATTTTGTGCCCGGGTCGTAACCCTTCCAACAGTCAACAGTTGTGCACTTGTGCGCTACCCGTGCGTTTGATGTCCCAGTCTTACGAACGTACGACAATATGTCGAATTTTTGTGCTGTAGTTGGTTTTGATAAGCATAAGCCACAGATGTATATAATACAACTAATAATAATACTATAATAACTATAATAACAATTATATATATATATATCTGTGGCATAAGCATTAAATACTATCTTTATTCTGCGAGCATGGACAATTGATAATAATTGTTCGTATTTAAAAGTTTGATAATAGGTCAAAATAATCACTGTCATATTATTATATCAGAACTGCCGGCGGCTGGGAAGTGAGAACCGTAGAAAAGAGATAAACATTTTTGGCGGGAACACACGGTCCGGTTTCTCGCAGAATTCTAATCGCGGATTCAGACGTCATCGTCCGGTTCGATCGGAATACGTCGTTTTATCGATTGGACCGATCACACTGTCTTAAGACAGCCCGTCACTAACCGCAGCAGCTATGCAGCACGTTGCGCCGTTGCGGTCGACCCGGACGGTTAATGAAACCGCAGTTGCCGTAACGCCCGCAACCGGACAGCGGGTTCACGGCACACTATTGAAACTGGTGAACGAACATTTTCCCGGGAAGCACGATTGAGCATGGAATCATAGACATATTAATAATATGTCTATGCATGGAATATTTCATGCGACGTTGCCACATTCACATCGCCGGAATTTTGTAATTTATTATTTTCTAGGTATCACACTATTATCGCACCAATTATTATGATACCAAACGAGTCGCGGGCAGTCGTGACTCGTGAGCCGAGCCCAGCTTTATCGACAACATTTATATTGATTGATAAATTAATATATTTTAGAGATTAATGATTTCATGACAAAATCGTTGGTCATTCAATTGTGTAGATTAAAACAAGAGTTACTTGATGTTAAAAAATCATTTGAAAGTATTTTATTGGAGAATGATAGTTTAAAAAAGAAACTAGGTATGTAATGAGGAACATAAAAAATACAATGGTACCAAGTATTTACTGAGTTAGAAAATAACCGTTTCGAAAGCCGGTTCAAAGAAATTTTATCAAAGATATTTTCACCGACTCAAATTAGTTTAATGCTTCATCCTAAAGCTAAGGTTTATAAATGGACACCAGAGGATATATCTTCAGTTATTACTTTGAGAAGTATTTCTCCAAAACCATATTGTTACTTAAGATTAAAAAAAAATTTCCTATTGCCAGGTTAGTTAAAATAAATTTTCCAAAACTGTTTACTTTTTTGATTTTGGAACTCTTTTTCACCAACTACCACTTATTCACTTTTAAAAAGGTTTATCAACATTAAGATCTTGGGCCTCAACTTTTCCTCTTGATGTAGGAATTCTTTCATCAGTATTATCTCTTATGAGATCCAAATGTATATTTTAAAATAATTCATAAGGTATTTATACTAGCCCTTATTTTTTATTTATTTTTTACACCAGGAGAATTAATGAACACAAATGATAAACTAACAGTTATTAGTTTTGATGAAACCTATGTTTCAAAAAGGATTTGTTTTGAAAAAAAAATGAACAGGTAATTGGGCCACACAAATGTGTTCAAACTGTTATAGCTCGAGGTATAATATTTATTTAAAGTACTACCAATATTAAATAAATTAATAAATAATTAACTATAATTTTTTGAAAAAAAAAGGTTTAGTAGGTAACTGGAAACAGCCTATATTTTATGATTACGATATAAAAATGACTAAGGAATTACTGTATAAAATAATAGAATGTTTACATGTGATTGGGTTTAATGTGGTTGCCATGGTTAGTGACATGGGTCCTACCAATATGGCATTGTGGAAATCTTTAAATGTAACTATACATCAAACTTCTTTTTTACATCCTGTCACGAAGAAAAGTGTTCACGTGTTTGCTGATGTACCACATCTGGTGAAATTGATTAGAAATCATATACTTGACCAGTGAGTAACTATTTTAAGCAAAAAAAAGGATTAATTATCAATCATATATATTTATTTCAGTAGATTTGTACTTACCAACAGAAAGTTTATTGGAAAAAATATTTTTAATACTCTTTTACAATTAAGTTCAGGAAATGATTATAAATTGGCTTATAAACTTACCGAAAGACACTTGACAGTGGAAGGTACAGGTCGAATGAGGGTAAAACCTGCTGCTCAATTATTGTCAAACACTGTAGCTAAAGCCATATTTTTTTGTGGAGAAAAAAAATATATGGATTCATTTAACTGGAAAGAGGCAAGTAATTGTGTTATGTTTAATTTAATTTTAAGTTTTTATTATTATACTTTATTTAATAATTACCTTTTAACCTGCATTGAGTTGATGTACAAACCACAAAATGCAATGTACATATTAAGTTAATCACCAATGCTATTTGTATCAGAAGTAGTACAGTTAATCAACGATTGGTTTGACTTGATGAATACCCAGCACAAGTACGACAATGGCATTGCAAGTTATGGGCTCAATAAATCATCTCAAAATGATTTATTTGATAGAATGAAAAAATTTATTAGTAGTATGCGAGTTCATGGTAAAACTTCATTATTACAATTTCAAAAAGGTAAGCTACCTACCTACAATATTGTATGAAATATAAAAATAAAATTTTCTAGAAATAATTAATCAACTGTATATTTTAATTTGATTTTAATTTGGATTAATTTTAATTACATAGGAATAATTGTTAGTAATACTTCTTTAAAAAATGTATTTATTGACATGGAAGAAACATATGGGCTAAGTTATATTGTAACCAGAAAACTGAACCAAGATGTGTTGGGGAACTTGATCAGCTTCTTGAAAGGTATGGTCGGAAGTGCCAATAATAATATGACTGTTTTGGATTTTAAGTACTGGTAAGACTTATTAAATTATTAATAAAATATAATAAATTAAGTAAAGTATAATAACATTTTATTTCAGTTTGCGGTGGTACATACTTGGAAAACATTCTGATGTAGTTTTCACAGAAAATGGCAATTAAGTCAGTTTACTGGATGAAACACAGTGTTTGACTGGCCAAATCATTTATGAATTGCAATTATCTGTAGCTGACTCTAATAATTCCAATGATACATCAACTGTTGAAACTATTCATGTTTCTGAAGCTGACCTGAATTTTGATCTTCTTAATCAATTTGAGGCATTTATTAATTAAAATGTTATAAAACAATTAACAAATACCTAATATTAATAACATATTTCTTAACTGTTTTAGCTGGATACTGAAGAATCACCATTCCGAATATTGGAAGAAGGGCCTGCTGAATATGTTTCGGGCTATGTAGCTAATCGTTTCTATAATAAATACCCTTCTTTAACTGCTCCACATAACTCACAGCCACCAGATAACTGGACAAATCATTTATCCTGTGGCAGTTTAAAAATTCCATCTGATAATCTTTTTAAAGCAGTCTTACAATTGGAAAGAGATTTCAAAACTTTTCACGGGGACACTTTATCTAAAAAACTACAAGTTTTTAAAAATTTATACAAATTAGTAGCACCCAAAATTCGGCATTTAAACATACCTGATGAAGTTATTTTATGTTTGATAAGAACACGAACATATATTCGTGTAAATAATTTGAATAATGAAAAATCAATTACACATTTAAAAAAGCAAGAAAAAATTAAAAAACAAAAATTCACTAACAAACAAAATGTACTTAATTATCAAAAATATTTTAACAATTTAAATAAATTGTAATTACATTTAGCTCGTTATTTTTAGTATTTAATTTAAAACCAAAACAAAATATTTAACTTGTCTATTTTGTATGAATGTTATGCACTTTTGCTGCACTATTTTAAAAATCAAAAAACCACTGACACAAACCACTGTAACTATACGAAACATTGTAAAAATACGCGACCAATGATTAGCTGAGAACTACGATAATGATGGGGTGAAGAGAGGTGGGACGTCTCGTGCGTATCACAAAGTTGCTGGCATATCTATCTATTTTGTCATGAATAATTTAGTGTCGGAGCAATTAATAAACGTAATTTTATTCGTAATTTACTGACCGTTGATATGAAATTATTATTTAATATTTTGACTATTGTCTAAATACAAAATAAATGTCAAAATATTTTTATAAATATAATAAATTATAGATACCTATATATTAATCACTACATAATCACTAGAAAATAATATCTTAAAAAATAAGTAAATATATCATTTTAAATAAATGTATATAATAGCTAAAATATTTTTTTAATAAAATATAGGTAATAAATAATTAAAAAAATGTTTAGATTTCTGTATTTGGAAAAAAAAATAATTTCATATTTAATAACAAAAGATATAAACTTATAATATCTATAATAAACTTAAAAATGGAGGTGGGTGGAAAATGTCCACATCAAAAAATGTATCGGGGGAAGATGTTTAACTACACCGAAAACAGTCGTGGGGAGGAATGTCTATTTACCAAATGATATAACAATAATTTGATAGGAGTTTTAACTAGTACCAAATTTTGAACTGTTATAACTATAAATAAGACTAATGACTAAGACTCAGGAGTCATTGTGGTATAGATATTTTACAAAATATGATCTATGAGGTGTATTTTGGGACTTTGAGTAGAGCGATTAATGTATTGATTTTACAATGATGTTTTTTGAGAAGTGAAGCAATGAAAGACAATGAAGAATGAACTGAAACTGAACTTTCACCAACATTATATGATTAACTTTTTTTTGCAGATGCCATATAGTATGTGAGGTCTTTGCAACAACAAGGTATTGATCATAGTCATTTTAACACTACGATACATGAACATGGGCTATCAAATTCGGATTTATTTCTCAACTTTACCAGAATGTTACTAACTATATTTGAAGAGTTTGTTATTTTAATGGGCCATTCTTACCGAATTAAATGAGACCTTAACCCAGACAAGGAACTACAAACTAACCTTTGAAATCTACCACTTTTAACTATTGGTGATTTATTGAGTAAAAAATAAATAATAATAATTACTAAAGGTTGAGTGAATATAAAATGTGAATTAACATTTAACAAATAATAGCGATAATCTTAACCATTTTTGAATTGATATTTTCAGATTGAGAAGAGCATTGAACAAGAAAATGTATGGAAAATTGATAACGGCCATACATAATATTATTATAAAAACTATCTTCAGTTTTTACCATTGATGAAATATAATACACTCGTAGTCGCCCTGCATGAATGAGTAAAGTTTTGCTGAAGCCGTGATACAACTAGTTCAGCATTTTTTAGTACCAAAAGTTTTGTCATATCACTTAAAAACTGAATAAATAAACTATTAAAAAAACAAGTTTGGGACATTTTTTGATCTTCAAACAGTATTATATTAATACAATATTTACTTCTTTCAATAATTTGGTTAAGCCATTCAGTATACACTGACATTGGTTATTGTTCATTTTCAATGAGTTTTTCATGGATGCTAATCCATGTACTGAAAATGAAGACAATAGATTTGGTTCAAAATCTTTTTTCATCCTGTCGACCAAAAAAACAAACTTTTTGTCATTGACATTGTTTAACTAATAGCTAAAGTAAAACAAAATAATTTTCTATTATTAAAATATACTCGAGCAATAGATAAATCATAAGTTGAATGGTTTACACTTACAACACATCTTTGGATGGTGCTGAATTCAAATTCAATGATATACAATTATAGAACACATACAATTTTTCTGAGTGAAGGCGGTCTGTTCGACTAAAATATTACTAAGTATATTTGATAATGTTATTGTAATTGAAATAATTTATTTTACTATTAAGCATTAGTACTAAAGTAGGTTAAATTAATTTTTACAAAAAAAAAATTATATTTGAAAAGTCATGTGTGTATAGAATATATTAATATATGTACTCTTAAAAGTTTAAAATACCCATGAATAATATTTTTGAATTACAAGAAAATAACTAAAATCGTTATTCTTGATTTGTACTTGTAATGATATCCAAATTTGAACATAAAATAACTATAAAAGAAAAAACTATGCAAATATATTTTTGAAATATTTTGGTTACAGAATAACTTACTTACATGGAACATTGTTTTAAATTTTCAATCCTTAGCTATAAAAGTTGAATATTTTGTACATTTTTAACTAGAAAATAATTGGTAGAAAAATTTGAACTTTAAATGACTATTAAAAATTTGTATGAATTTCCAACTCAAAATAATTTGCAATTGTTTTTAATTTTTAAGTATTTGCTCAGCATTTGAAATTTAGACGCTCATAAAAAATTACTGTGGATTTCTGCTCAACTATTTTTTAATTTCTACTAACAACAACTTACAAGGAACCTTGTATTACATTTCAAAGTTTCCATGTTTTCTTCAACATTTATTTTAATTCAAAACTCTAAAAATCCCAAATTTGATATGCTTATAAATAGTTCAACATGAGTCAAATCATTTTGTAAATTGTACACTATAGTATATAGGATATGCTAATATAAACATTCAGTAAAATTTTCATGCATTTATGGCAATTCGTTAAATTATTACAACAAAAACCAAAAGAAATTTTGGGTTTAAAAATTAAAGTTTTTTCATAATTTTTTTGTTGATTTTTCCCGGGGCTATTGACAAATACTGTGAATTTTGACCTTTCGAATGCTCCAACTAGATTCACTTTAACATCGAAAAAGATATTGAAGTTGAAATCAAGGCATTATTTCGACTATTTATCAAGTAGATACACAGACACAAAAGATAAAAAAAAATAAAAAAAATACACATTATTGTATAACCAACACATTCATTGCTCCGCTCAGAATTTAAAAGAACAAATTTTAAGCCGAAGTGATTTACAATTTATTAGAATTTTTAAGAATTTTTTGATTCTTTAATTTATTATGCTGGTTTATATTAATTTTCAGCAGGTTGGATAATCTTCAGAGCAGTGCATTTTTTAAGCTGGTAAACTGGACGACATAAATGTTTCCCAGTGAAAATTTTTTGACACCTAGTTGACTGTATTTTTAAAGACTTTAAGCGACACAAAAATACACACACAATCATTGTACTTATAACTTTTACCTACTATTTACTTCTTGCATAAAGATTTATTTTTAATAACTGTGAAAGGTGAGCATGAAATAATTACCTACTATAACTGACAGTTTATTTTAAACCAAATATTAATTGTCTCCTAATAAAAATGTCTTAAAAAATGCCACTTGTGGCATTTGCAAATATTTGTTTTGAACAATGACAAAAACAGCGGAATAAGAAACAAATACGTTTCATGCTAAGGCATATTCAGAGTTGGGTAAGATTTTATCTAGATAATATTATTCGAATAATTTGCTGTGAAGATTATTCAAATAAAATAACGATTGTCACACATATATGCGTACTTATAAATTAAAGAACGACTAACGTGGAAACATAAAACAACTACTAATAATCATAAGATAAAGTATTAAGTAGATTTGATAAAACTATGCTTCCAAAAGTAGATCATCAACAATATAATAATTAACAGGTAACTATCATAGTTATATGGAACATTTCCCATCTAAATATCTAATATCTAAATGTCTAATTTATTTATGTTTATTTATATTTATTTTCAAATTTTTAGTTTTTTTTTTATAAATGTTAATAAAATTTTATTTGTTGGGTCAAAAAACGTGAAAATTTAATACAAAGCTCCTGATATATTATTTCAATATCAGTTAAAAAATATTAAAAATTAGTAATTACACTGGTACGATTTTTTATAAGCATTTTAAGTTGAAAAAAAAGACAACATTTATCAAATTGAAAAATGATTTTGCAGTTAAAAATTTAAAAAATTTTCATTTAGTATAGCTCAGGATTGAAAATTTAAAATAAGATACCACATAAGCAGTTTTTTTCCGTAAATAAAATGTAAAAATACAGTTATTTTTTGAGGACATTTTAAGTGGATCTTGCATCAGCTATAAATTCTTTCTGCTTGTGATTTATTAGAATTTGGAAACAAAGAAGTTTTAATGTGCAATGTTGAACAATAACAAACATGTTTGGATCAAATACGTTCACAAATGGCAGTTATTGAGCTTAGTTTGAACAATCAGCACACACTCTTCAGGTAATGTTCACTGATAAGTTCAATAAATCTTTTTACTCTATAAAGATAAAGAAAGAATTGCTGTACTGGAATCAACAATTCTCAATAATGAGAACAGCAAGAGAAACGAAACTACTTTATGAACCTTAATAATGTCATAAATCATAAAATTATTTGTGCGATATTTTCTTTTATTTTATTCTTAGCTTGAAATTGACGTGCATCGAGAGGCTTTATATCAATTCCTTTGAATATATACTTAAGTACAGAATAGTAAGTATTAATAAGCTGTAAAATATCTATATTTTATGATCTAATGGTATATTGTGAATAATCTTCGACAGTTATTAAGTTAATTAATAATAATGCTAAATATTAGTGTACTAATTTTGTACGACTTACTATTAGCAAATTAAATGATATAATCATACATAACTAGTGCAATTAATCATAATGATAGTAAGACTATCAAATGTATTTGATACTCAAGTTTTTTTGGTGTTTTTTAAACAAAGTATAATAAGTTTGATGTAGGAAATAAGCTTTATTTTATAATACACACTTTTAATACTCTTTTTACATAAAAATATAAAATTGTGAATTATAGTACATGAGAATGTTGTTATTACTTATTCTTATACCATAAATGTTATATAGTTACAAAAAAAGTTACGATAACATTTTTAATCAATCTCCATTTTTTCTGGATTGGCCAATTCATATGCTTTTATTTGTTTTTCTAAGAGAGCGCATGTCAATTCTATCTCATAATTCTTGCTCACCAATAGTACCCAGTTGGCTTCTAAATCTCGTAATTTTTCGCCGACATGCATCTGCACATTTTTTCGCAAGAAATTTACTTCTTGAATTTGTTTTCTAAAATAATGAACTCATTAATAAGGCAATAAGCACATAACTAAAGTTTTTAAATGCATATTTACTTCAAATTATCCACTTGTGTCTGTGCAGCAGCTACACATTTTACTAGAACTTCCAAATAAGATTTCCAGATTTCTGTACCATAGTCCATCATAAGTTCTAAGTTGGTAATTCTGCAAAACAAAAATATTTTTTAATATATAATCCATTATAATGTAGCTTTAGGAAGAGATAGCTTTAGGTCATCAACAGATCTCATATTTCCAGTAAAACAATTTCTTCGTAGTGGGGGATGAGGTGACCGAGTGGTCTGACGCGTCCGCTACGACGCAGCCGGTCGCGGTTCGATCCTCGGCTACCGGGCGGCATTTTTCTCCGGACAAGTCGCAGTGACCGGAGAACAAGTGCTGCCATCCCCTACCCCCGGGGCATGGCAGAAACCTACGGGTGCCCCATTCGAAATTCTGCCAAAAACAAACACACACGTGTTCCCCCCTACCGTCCCAAAATATACAATACAAACCTACAATACAAAATCCTACTACAGCTAATGGCCTCAGTTGCTGAAGCTTAAGTTCAATAAAAAAAAAAAAAATTTCTTAGGTAACATAGAGTATAATAAGAATATTTACAATATTTTCTTCATAGATTTCAAGGAGGCCTAAAATTCGGACAAATTTATGAAAAGTCTCGACAAATCTAAGATTCCACACTATGCAATAGTAACACAAAATATGTGCTCCAGTACAGGGAGAGATATTAGATTTATTTGAAGTTGGTAAAGGACTAGCTATACTTCATTCCCAAAGAGAATATACCAGTTCTGAGTACTTTTTTCCTAGGCGGATACTACATATTTATTTATATTAAATACGGGACGAGCCCAATTACATTTCTTGTATTAAATAATAACTAACAAGAAAATTATAAAAATTTAAGAATGAACAGACAATAATTACACTTGACGTTATGTGGGAGATGAGTGCTACTGAATAGATACCAGTTGCTGACTGGTGTATTTTCTTTTAAATGGAGTATAGATGACTAGGTGATGCTAAGTTACCTGTGCTTGTTAATCGAACATTATGTGGTGTTGTGATAAGAATGATGACAAAGAATAGAATTATATCAAAATCATAACCTCGTAGGCCTAGCAAATGCAGGTGATATAATAATCTTTGGTGATATGAAGCAGGATTTACAAACAGTATATCTGGTTTTATAGGCAGCATTTGGGGTTGTCGATAAACCAGGAAAATACCTGCAATTACAGTGGGTTCCGCTTAATGTGATCATTTTGGTGCAAGTCATTTTGATTCTATAAAACATTTACAACATTTTTTTTATAATTCAATCTTTTTATACAATTACATATTTATTTATAATTACATATTTAATGTAACATTATAATAAATGACCCAAGTAAATGACGCACAAAGATAATTGAATAACATAATAACGTACAACAATATACTGTCATACTGATAAGTTCAAAAATAAAATGGGTTTTATAAATTAATCAGTTTGAAATACCATAAAAACAATAAGATTGTTTTTAAGAGTGATTCAATTATCCGGTACTTAGTGATTATAATAAAAGGTCAATTTAACATTAGTAACATACAATTTGGTTTGGGATTTTCATTTTTGATTCTAATAAACGGTTGGTTGATGGTTCTATAAACCAATGATCACATTAAGCAGAACTCACTGTATATGTATAGAGCCAATAGAATAGTGGGATGGCGATGATCAGGGTTGGACTGGCCCACCAGGAAATCTCCAGGTAGGACGAGGAGTTAAGACAAACTGTGAATAACCGAAGTAAGTTACTGATCCAGTATAAAACACTAGTTGTTTTATTAAATTGTAAAATTATTGATGACAACTATTTAATAGTGCTCAAGGTTAGGTTATAAGCTGTTAGGAGCTGCTGTATGCTATCTGGAGGCCTTTAATAAACATCTGGTGGCTGCATGTCATAAGCTGTCTGATGCTGCAGAGGGGGACTAATAAAAAAAATATTACCTGTGCCACTTATACAAGTCAATACCAACTACACAGGTGATTTAGATTTAGACTTGAAATTATGGGCGCAATTTTGGGAGGACTTGGTGTGGCTAACAATATTAAAAGTAGCCCCTCCAAAACGTGTATTTTAATTGAATAATGAAATTAGTTATCTAATATACATAGAATATAATTAAATGATTCATTATTCATACAGAACGTAATATATGTTTAATAATAGTATTACAAATTAGTAATAAATTACAATACATATTACTGATAAATGATAACATTTCAATTTGTCTAGAATATAGTTGACACTCGATGGCATAGTTTTTTGTTTTATAAATGCAATTTTGAAAGACAGTTACAATTCGGTTTCATTTTAATATGTAAAACTTCTCCTAGTAAAAAAAAAAAACTGAAATTGAGCTTATGCTTAACAGTTAATAGAATGTCTTTTCCGCAAGAACATAATTGTAAATACTTTGGGGTCAACATATATAAATATAACAAAACATTTATTTATGTTGACCTGAAAACTGTGTGCATGACTAAATAAAGAAAATATTGCATCTTTATAAATCAAACTTATTGAAAACAAAATTAAAACCAAAGAAAAACTTTAAACTACATAATATATTAGACTAGTTGTACCTAGGTAATAGCGGGAGATGAGAATAAATTAAACTTTTGAGAGAAGAGAAAATAAGAATAATGTATGGACAAATCTATAACTTTTGGACCAGTTGTGGAAGAGAAAGAGAATTGAAGAGCTGAAACAATCATATGGAAAAGGAAGTAGTTAAATAGTTAAATTTAAGAAAGGAGCAAAAATGGAACGAGCAGGCCACATGCTCATATCTGAAGACAACTACAGTAGGTATATGTAAAAAGCACATGGTGCAACATGATATATAGAAAAATATGTAATTAAGAGAGACATAATGGATCTGATATGATCTAGTATAGGGACCTAAATCATGTGTATAACAGGAAAGAGTTGAAGTGTTGGTGTTATTTGCTAAGAGCCTAAATTGTCTGTAACCTTAAAAGTAAAATATATATATATATATAATATACCTTGTAGCTTGATGTTCGAGTTGAACCATTGAGTTTTCCAAACATTCATTCCAAGAAGACATATCCGGGAGTTTTACAGCAGGTGGTGGAGGTAGTTCATAGGGTTGCATACTCATTGTTTCCATAGATAAACGCTGCTGAAGTCTATCAAACTCTGTTCGCATCAATTCAGTCTATTGAACATTGATCATTATTAGAACATTTTATTATTTTAAAAAATGTATGATGTTTTAAGTAATTATATTAGTAGGTAAGTTTATCATAATTAAGAAATCCTCAACATTGTATCCTCTGCATGGGGACACTAGTTTTTTTAACCATGCTTATCGGACTGTGATAAAAGCAAAGAATATTTGATCTTAAAATAAAAAATATTTACGTACTTCAAACCGCGATGTATTGAGTGATGGAAAACGTTCTAGATAGTTATTTGACGGCCTGAAACGACGTTTTTCGTCTTCTATCATACTGATCACCTGCAAATAAATTGAACGACATAATATCAGTGGTTGTCACAAAAACCATATCGATAAAACAAAACTACTTACAGCTTCACGGATGCCTGGCTCGTCGTACCCCTCATCAATGTACGAAAGAGCATCGACAAGAACTTTACCAGCCATTGTTGAAGTTCCGCCAGTTCCGGAGTTAATTTATTTTAAAAATCCAAAACCCAATAACCTAGAAATTCAAGAATTGAGTCTAGTCTACGATCAACAATAATCTCGATTCGTGGCCTAAAGTTACCACTTAGAACCCGCCGGCTATAACTACGACAACTTCGGTAATGTATTAATGTTTGATTTAAAATTTAAATATCCAAACTTCTCAACTGATAGTGTTTGTAAATAAAACACTGGCGACCGAACCTGATGAGCTGCTGCCCGCCGGCTTTTTGTTTTCCATGGTTACAGGTTAGCGTCTATAATTTATTGTTACCATAACCATATTATTGTTATTGGTTATCATCTATGTGATTATGTACCACGATTTAAGATAGTATCTTAAATCGTGTTATGTACCATAGAATAGATATATACAATATTGTATATATCTGTGTTATCTACTTTTCTGCAGACTGTGATAACTGATAAACGAATACCTGCTTCAGAATAGCGATCCAATTCGATTATCCTATAATAAGTAGGTTTGATGGTTTGATGGTTTAGTATTCCCATATTTTGCTGATTTTGTATTATTATGGTTCGACGAATGTGTAATATAATATTATAGGAATAGTTGTTAGTATGTACCATGAGATTTTGCCGCGAACTAAGATGAATTCGTTATATTTTGACAAAATTCGCTAATAATTTAGTGGTAAAAAATGCTTAATATTTCCAATTTATAGCTAGGGCGGCTTGGAAAGTTGGAACTGAAAATAGAAGGTTCGTGTGGTATGCTATCCAGTACCCACCTTTATTTTGTGGTTGGTAGAAAAAAAATCCACACAATTTACTATAATATTTTATGTTTTTAAAATAATTTAATTACAATATTCGAAAAAATCATAATACTATAATAATACTTAATAGAAATTACAAATAATAATAATAATTAACCACGTTTGGCCTAGAAACTACAGTAGTAACCGATATTACTAAAATCAAAAAAAAAATTTAAAAAAAATAGGTACGTTGGTGTGTATTTATTTCCCTTGTATTAAACTTGAGCATCAAACTATTATAATATTATAGGCTCTACCACCTGTGTTGTATTGACTTGTTAAATTATTATTTTTATAGTTGTATAATTTTTGTATAAATATTAAATGTATAATATACCTAAGACCATTGATTATAATTTAAAACTAATATAATATATATATTTTTCATATAATACTTATTAGTCCAACCAATATCTGCTGTAGAGGTTTTAATATGAATAAACTTTATTTTGTCAAAATGAATACTAGCATTGGGATTTGTTTGTATTGATTCATTAAGATTGCATCAACATCTAAGGAATTTACTGTCAATCCTATTTACTTTTGTTGTATGTAGGGGCTATAAAGTGATTACAAAAAACAAATCATGTATCATATTAGAGCAAGTAAGTAAATGGAATTTTGAAATCTGTTTACAGTTACAAACTTATTTTAAAAATAAGTCCAACAAGTAAAACAGTAATGTTACAAAAATATTACTTCATCTATTATAATACTCCATTCCATCAAATGCATGTTTTACTTCAAACTTTACTAGGTTGAAGTTTTTGGGATCTTTGGTAAACTCTTTCATAGTACTGGCCTAAAATAAAAGGTTTTATGTTATACAATTATGATATATAGACATAGGTATAGTGTGTTGTATACTTATGTCGTGTATCAACCAAAAAATCAAAGGTAGGTATCACCATATATGAATAACTATAACCTTGAATTTGTATTTAAATTGCTATTGTGTTGGATAATAAAGGGGAAAAAGACTAAAGACAGTAGGTAGGTAGGTACTGTATATTTTTTGTTGTTCGATTTTCAACCTTATTGTTTTAGTAAATTCCATTCATTAAAATATTCACTCTAATTAAGTAATGTTAACTTTAAGTGAAAAGTAATACATTGACTACTTTGTTTTGTAGCAATGTGAAAAAAAATGTTTTTTTATTTATGCCCTTAAAATGAACAAAAATGATAATTTAGGATGTGACAACTAACATATTTTTCTAACCCTGGAAAAAAACTAAAATAACACCAATTATTACTGTATGTATATAAAAAAATTATTAAACCACTACTCACTTGGCAATGACAACAAAGAATCTAATAATAATAACAAAAAAAAAAATCAAATAATGTTCCTCCTGGTTGACTGATTAAAAGTCCTAATTTTAACATATCCATTTACATATCCATAGACCTTATAGACCATTGGGGGAATAATAATACATTTTGACGTTTGTACAAATTAATCAGCGAAACCTTACCACATCATAATAATTATGTAAATAATCATGTTTTAAATTTAATTTAAAAAAGGGAAAGAAAGACAAAATAGCAGATTTCAATTTATAAGATCTGCATTGCATTATTTAAAAACACAATTTTTATTGTACCTACACATTTATGTGCATTAATCGGAATGAAAAGAAATATTAAATTATTAAACATGTTTAGAGACTCAGATATATTACTTCAATTTCTCAGAACGTGAAAATACTACTAATAGAATAATGTATAAATATTAAATATAAGGTAATAATAATAATAATAATAATAAACACTTAGATTAAATTAACTATTTCATTTCGCAGTAGTGTTTTCATTTTCCAGAAATTGCTTAGTCTGGAGTCAATGGTATGACGCGTGTATTAAACTAAACTTGTAATTCAGAGAATAGCTCCGATTCTAATATTCATTTATTAAATTTTTAATTAATTTTAATTTATGCCTATGATATCATATTACGGCCGGCACTTCTACTAATTTCGATAACGTCGTACTTATATAATACCCATGTTACATCGAGGTAAATTGAAGTCAAAATAATACACAATTATTATTACTCTCTCCCCGGGCCACGTCAAGGTCAATCGAAATCCGAGCGCACGGGGCACGGGCCCAATGGCCCTCTCGCCTTCCTCTTATATCTTTTAAATTATATTGTACGACTGCCGTGCAGCGCCGGTGAAATCGGTCATGCAGCAACAATTTACCCCCGCGTTATTACTTATTAGTTATTTTGTGTCAGATGCACTGTTATCGGCGGCGGTGGGTGGGCTTGGTATTAAATACGTATCGTGTACAATTTCACCCATAGACCTATTAAGTTAGTTAATAGGTCTATGATTTCACCGCCTCCAGTAGTCCAGTCTCCACTACTGCAGCCGCCGCCACCTCCACCACTGACCGCTCGCGCCACCGCCGACACCAGCGCTGCAGGTGTGCGGGACGCTGCCATTGCCCGTGATATCATAACGACTACTTTATCGCAAATAGTTCGCGCCTTCGCGGAACCCGAATAAACTAGGTATACAGCATGACTAAATAAATTTAGTCATGGTATACAGTAAGTCAGTAAGCTGTATCATTGACTGTAAATACTATAGTGCTTTTACTCAATGGTAATATCACGGAATAACTGTTATTCTGTGGTAATATCTCATACGCATTGACGCATTGTATAATACACGGTTATAAGTGGTATGGGCCGTTGGCGCGCTCGTGACTTAAGCCGCATGCGCACGAATTCCACGCGATCGTAACTGATAATAAATATTTGTGCTGGTGTGCCTTGTCCGTCGCAGCGTAGAGGAATATAATATTTTATTAATATAATGTGCTCTGTGCGTTCGGCGTTGCACTCGGCCGACACCTCCGTTGGTAAGTTTTTGCGCGTTTGACGTGTTTTTCGCGATTGGCCGTCACAACACACTTCAGTTTCTGCGTCGTCTTCCTTGCGTGCCGTCACTTGTCGAGCTCTCAAATATAATGTTTTAAAGTGATCCGTCGTGGTGTGGCGTCGAGCGACGGGAGGCTCGAGGAGCGGACCTCCAGCCGTTGGAACTAGCCATCATCCCACCGGCAGTGAACGGGATGGCCTGCATCGCTTTTTCACAGGTATACCATGTTTTATTTCAGTCATTTGTGCAGGCACGCCCGGGGGGGGGGGGGGGGGGTGGTGCAGGTGATGCACCACCTGAGAATTTTCATAGTTTGGATTTTTCAAATGAATAATAAAATTTAAAAAATTCCTTCTCTGTTAATTTATAATTTATGCCATTTATTAATAACCAATTTATATTAACCATTAATCATTATGTAGGCCAGTACCTAATTATTAAGTAATCTATGTAAATTATGATTCCTTTTAATTTTAAAAATTCATTACAGCAGTTATGTAGCTTTAGTTTTGCTAATTATCTATATTTTGAATTTTGTTGTTTATATTGTATTAGATAAACTGTTTTAATACTAAGATGATGAAGATGATCCGCAATCTCAACAATTGGTAGCAACAAAAGATAGTATTGCAGAAGTAAGACAAAAATTATAGAAAAATTAGTTTTTTTTTTTTAATTAGCAATATATTTAAAATTATTAAACATGGATATTATAAATTTGAGAAAATAAAATTTTATTATTTTCTATTAGGTTAATCAATCTATCAATACTAATTTTCACGATGAAAAAGGCTCGGAACCTCAATTGGTTGAAATAAAAGATAATACTGTAGAGGCACCCAAGATAAATATGGTAACTGATATTTTGTATTGCATTTTAATGTCTGAATTATTCAATTAAAAGTTAAGTTAATAATATAAATATTTATAAATAAATATTATACTCATATTAACTATACTTTATAGTTTATTTATTTACTTTGTAAATAATTAATTTTGAATATTTTGTTTACAGTTAGCATGCTCATCCAAATTAATTGATGCAGAAAAAGACAACGCCGCTAATATCTTTGAAAACAATGAGAATGATGTACGCAATTTTACAGAAACATATTTTAAAATACCTGATGATAAAAAATTTGAAGTAGTAAAATATTCTAGTAAGTAACTTATATTGACACTAAAAATATTTTGCACCTAGTGATATACATCTCTGCGGCCGTGCCTGCATTATTATTATTTATTTATTATCTTTGCCCGGCTAACGGCAAAGTGACCTATTGCGGTCTTATTCTTGTACCTATCGTTGTTAATGTAAAAAAAAATTGAGAATGTGAGTGACGATCCGCTGTGCATTAGGTGTCCAGAAATTCACTGTGCTAATGGATGTATTAAATTTGAATTCAATCATATGAATTCGTTGTTCACGAAAAACGATTTTTACCGAAGACCGTCTTAACAGCCTAAAATATTACTATGTACATTTTATGACATAATTGTCATTACAGTAATTTATTTTACTAGTAGGCACTATTACTGAATTCCTAAAATATTTGTTTAATAATTTGCATGTGTTTGTAAGTAATATTGTAGACTGGGTCTGGCGATTTTTATTTCCGATTTTTATTGCCGAAATTATTGTGTAAGTTATTGTGTGTATAAAATATAATGAAATACTCTTAAAGTTTCAAGTACCCACAAATAATATTTTTAAATTACAACAAAATAACTAAAATCTTTATTCTTTGTTTTAATATGTAATTTCGTCCAAGTTTGAACTTAAAATAACTTTTAAAAAAACGGCGTTTACAAATGTTTTGGTCACATAATTTATTACTTACATGAGACCTTGTTTTAAATTTTCAAGCCTTATATATTATAATAAATTGAATATTTTACATGTTTTTAAATACAAAATAATTTGTACATTTTCAATTCGATTAATGTTGTCAACATTTTAACTTGAAATGCTTATAAAAAAATTGTACTTGTATGTATTTTTAAGCTTTTTGAATCAACGAATAACATTTTACTAACATTTTTCTTAACTTTCAAGTATTTACTGTTCTTCAATGTTTTGAAAATTTGAACTTCAAACCCCTATAAAAATTAATTTAATTTTCATGAAAATATTTTTTTTATTATCCATGTTTTGAAAATGTAACAATAATTTAAGATTTTGATCAAAATTCCAAAGTTCCAACGCTGTTCAACTGCATTCGAGTTGTTTACAAATCACATCCTGTGATCAAAATCATTTCTTTTCTTACAGCCGTACTGCACAAAAAATATATTATTATTCCATTGTGCTAATTATATCTGTACCTCATAAACTTAATTACCATACTAGGTCTAGCTCACTCGCTGTTTACGATACTCAGTTGAAATTTGTTCCATTTAATATGATTATTTTGTATTAAATATTTAAGCACTAGTTTATTAATAATTGTATTCAGTAGTTCTATATTTACGCTATTAGTTCCAACTGTTCAGCTGTAATAACTAAAATGGTTGATACTAAAAGCTAAACAAACAAAAAGGTTTACATTTAGAATTTGTATTAAAACCAAGAATAACGAGGTTTGTGTAATTTAAAAATATTATTTGTGGATACTTCAACTTGACATTTTTTGAGTATATTATAATATTTAATACACACAATGATTGATTGAAAATCTAGATTTAGATATTACGTTTAGTTCTAATCCTACTTTCGATAAACATTATCTGACGAACTTTATAAATCTGTCATCCATGTACTAGGATTCATTAGTAGGACATATAAGGATTTTACTAACCTGACATTGTACTTTCATTGGTACTATTTATTCTAGAATATAATTAATTTATCTGGTCGTTCTCTCTGTAAGTACCACGGTTTAAGATAAACTGGTTGCACAACTTTATGCAAAGAAATGGACCTTCTCATAATTGAATGTGATAAGAATGAAGAACTAGTGAGCGCTCCTTGTGAGAAATCTTTGAATCAATAAAGACAACAATTATTGATGATTGTATAAAGAATAATATTATTACAATATTACTATTAATTATTAAATATTTATACTATCCTTCACACTGTTTCACTGTGATGCCCTAACTGTGGTCTGTACTCTTTACTACTCTACTAACTTATTGTATTATTTTTCTATGCTCTACGATTTATTGTATATCAGTAGTCATTGAATACTTAGCTGCCTAGTATACTATATATCATTGACCTATAAACTAAGTTAATAGGTCTATGCCATATATTCTTCCCCTATACTTAAGACAGTTCTTCGAATTCTGAAGATCATAATTAATCATAATCTTATAAACTATATTAAACAATAAAAGTAGGCAATGTTAGGTGCCATGATTCAAGGATATAAAGTATTAGAGCACCAGTGGGATTACAAACATTTAATAGTAAATACAAGATGTACCTAGTCATTAAGAGTGACAGTTTATAAAAATAAAACAAGTAAATTAGAAAATAAAAATAAATTATTTAGTATAGTATAATTATTATAAGTATGTACAGATATGTCTAAAGAATAAAACAGTTTATTTTTGTTAAAGATGTATTAGGTAGGGCCTAAAATTTATTTATTCATTAATCGTTGGTTAATTTTGATAACTTTTTTTTTGATCTATTATTTTTTTTATTCTCTTGATTTATTATATATGTGTACTGACGCATTCTCATAGTTATATAATAAGTGAATAAATAACATGAGATTTATGGTCGGGACATGGAAATATTAATTTTAAATTATTTATTTTAAAGAACTTTTCAAATGTATCTTCAAATACATTTTGAGAACTTGCGTACTTAACAAAACATGATTCTAATAATTTTGAAATATTAAATAAATTTTGATCTGGATTTGTCAAAAACCCACGAGATTTCAAGTTTACCAAAATTGCTTCACTCCTAGAAATATTATTATAATTTTTTTAATTGCATTAAAACTTCACATTTAGAATGCTTTATTAAATGTCTTGCTATATATCTAAAAAAAAAATAGTAAAAAATAAATAAATAACATATTTTATTAAACAGAAGTGAATAATAATAAAGCTAAATAATAAACGATACATTCAAAAGATGTTGAATCAGCATAATCATGATCGAGGAAAATATCATCACAATCATAATGACAATCAAATGTTATCAATTTTCTTTTTTAGTACTTTACTTTTTTTCACCCTTTCTGGGAAATTATCTGGATCTTTGACAATTTCTTTTAAATCGGATAATGTTATTACTGGAATATTTTCTATAAACACAAGTAAATTAATTAAAAAATTAAATTTCTTATAACCATATTATATTATTTGATTTTGGTATTTTAAAAATGTACAACAGTTAATTGGTTGAAATAGAACAATTTCCAGTTTTAGGAGCCTTTACTAATGAATAGACTGATAATATACTGTACAGCTGTAGGAATGTAGGAGTGGCAGGATGATCATTAGGACCTGCCTAATTATTCCAAAAAATTTCTATAATAAAAGAATATTGGTATTTTATAAATAAATGTAAAGTTTATAAAATGTATATTATTACCTCAAGACAGTCTTGGTTCAATTTACCAGTTAGAACATATATAAAGTTACACTCGCTTAACAAATAGTTTGATAAATCGATGGTTGATTCTAAGCTTATTCGCAAGCCTTCTGCAGTTGCCTTCGTCAAGAACTCATTTTTGTTTATAAATCCATTGCTCATATTATATTCCCACTTATTTAACCAAGTTGTAGCCGCTCTTAAAGTCTATAGAAAAATAATTTTTCTAAACAACAAATATTACTTTACAGATAGCCAAAACCAAAACTAAAAGTAAAACTTTGTGTATAATCTACAGGAAAAAATTAAATTAAAAACGGTTTGATGTTAATAGAACTGCTCAAATACTACTAATAAAATACTTTACCACTTTGGTTGGTACTCTTTATCTGAAACACAAATTAATTGATTTAGTCTGCTGCAGAAGAGCTAAATAACTATAAATAAAGTTAATTAATATCGACATTTTATAATACATAATAAATTACAATTTATAACTATTGTGTATAAGGTTTTATAGTATTGACCATTGTTAAGAATATAAATAATTTTACAAGAGTTGCATACTTAACCTTCATCTTAGAAAAATTATTGAGCTTGAAATGATGTTTTGTCAACTTAGGACAAACCTTTAAAAGTGATTGAGCTTCATTTAAAAATAAATCATGGAAATCACTCCATTTTATGTATGGTTTCTTTCAATGGATGTATCTATAAAAAAATAAAAGTATTGTTTGTTATTATACATAATTATTACTTATTGGTAATTACTTACTCTTTTTATTAGTGTGCACACGGTTGCGTATAGTTTTCATTAAATGCGGTACATCGGCAAATACAAAAACTTTCCGTGTATTATCAAATGGATTTTTAAATCCTTCAATACTTGAACATATCCCTAGTTCTTTCCACATAGATCTATTGGTACTGGCCCCATCGCTTGTAAACCCAACAACTTGACCACCAGCAGCATCCTCGAGTAACATAATTGCTTTGATGACTAGCTTTGCCAAATCAATGCCTATTGGAAATAAAATATTGAAATTAAGAAAATAAAATTCAAATAGATGTACATCACCTTTAACTGGCCCTTTCGAAGCAAACACTGCTATTGGTTGGGTAAAATTTTCTGCAAGGCTCTGCCACATTAACACAAGTCCATGATCGGCTTTATCAGCTTCTTTACCACCTTCTTGTACTTCATCACCAAAATCTTCAAGACCAGAATATGTAAGGGTTCTACTATTTACAGCTATACTTGATCTTAAAAAAATGTCATCTTAGACAAGTATACCCTTTTTTTGATATTCTGTTTTCACAGAAAATTTCTTTATAAATAATTTGAAAAAATTAATGTCAAAGCCACATCCAATTTTTATTGCCAATAAGTGTTTTCTTATTGTGTTCACACATGGAAGTGGTATTATATTTTGTTCTCTTAAAAATTTGTATCCACTTTTTGATCTACATTATTCATAATCAATTAATGGTATCATAAATATTTAATATTGTTTTGAATTAATGCTAATGGTAAATTAGATAAAACGATTTACCTTATTTGGAACAACAGACACAACATCATCCAATTTTCACTATACCTCCGTCCTTTGGAGTTTTTTGTTTTAGTTGCGGCAAAAATGTCTTCAATAAGTTCACCCTGGATATCACTTACACCAGAATTAGCTAATAACTCTTTTAAAGAACTATCTGAAACATTTTGCATCTGAAGATGCACATCACTTAAGGCATTTTTCAACCTTTTTATGGCTCTATTGTTTATTTTTTAAATATTTTTTTGTGTTAACTGTAAAATCTTAATGCGCTTTTGCTTTCTCGGAGAGTAATAACTATCAACTGGTTTATTATGTTTTAACCTTAATAGTTTTTGCCTCATGGAATAATACAGTTTCTTACACAGATTACAAATACCACTTACAGAAACAAACAAATGTATTAAAATCATAAAACTTATAACCACATCCTACAATTTAATCAAACTGTTGAAGTATACCTTATTTTATTAGATGCAATTTAAGTGCATTGTGCATGCAGAAAACGTTCATGAGTTTCAAAATATTGATCTGGACTAAATGTGGATTTAACTTTTTGAAAATCTCTTTTGTTAGTTAAGCCAGGGCACACCTCCAATTTTCAAAAGCAATTAACATATTTTCAAGATCCTCAACCGTTTCTAATTCATAGATAATTAAAATGTTAGTCATATTGAATAGTTCTCCATATAAATGAAAATATATATCAGAATCTGTAATGTAAAAAAGTATATAATACATCCTGAGATCTAATTTAAATTAAAATTATATTTCAATGTCAATTTGCTATCATAATATACTTAGTAATACATCATAGTGTTGATGACATTAACATAAAAAGACAAATTATTACCTTCAGAAATAACCAATTGTTTTTCAATTGATCGACTGTAATTTATACCATATAAACTAAATTTATAGAAAGAAATTATTTTTTTTCTCCGTTCAAATGAATATCAAAACACCATTTAGATAGAATATTTACTGATGATACATTTTCAAAAATCATTTTAAGAAATGTCATAACTTCATTGTCAACCTGTAATTATATACAAATAACTTGTCTAGTTAATTATCAATAATTTAATAAATAGTTACCTCAGCATGCTGAATTTCTTATGATTGAGAATCGGTGTATTTTCAAATTTGAAGTATGTATGATCATGTTGTACACAATGTACATTACTGTTTGAAAAAATTAAATCTTCATTGATTTTCAATATTTTAACTGGTATTGCACCAGCTTTAAGCTTTGGTCTTTTCAAACAAATCTAAAAATAATTGAAAAATATTAAAAGAAAACTGTGGTTTAAGAGCAAATGAATCTTTGTCTGTTGACGTGTACTCACGAAATATTTACTCGCACCAACACCTGATTCCCATATTGCAATAATATAATCTGGATCAAAATGAGTAGCACTTATCTTTGAATTATGGTTTAAATTCATATTTTGTGCTATTTCCCATTCATTTTTTGAATTTTTAGGCACGCTAAATAATGATTCATTGCGATATTCACAATCTTTCACACAAGTACACAACACTTCGGCATTATTCAACAATTGGAGATTATAATAACTAAAAAATATTATATACTCTTAAGATAAATAAGCCTTTAGCCTACATTTACAAATTAAAATTATTCAATAACAATAAAATTAAAATAATTGTAATATTTTCTTATTTTGGAGGCGTTTTCTCTAATCGTTATTATTTACCGGTGTCTGATAGTATGATCACAAATCACAATAACATAGTATACTGATAGGATAGTTTTCGGGTTTGCCGTTAGGGTTCACTACAATCTAGTTCTACGCGAGTCTTTTCGTAAAACATATAGAACGGTCCATGTATCATAAGCAATTTAATATGGGAGTTGTGCAACCAGTATATCTTAAACCGTGGTAAATACCCATATCCAATGCCTCGAAGCTATACACAATCGCTTCCTTTGCTTTATATCGTACAATATTGCAATATAATCCAGCGTCGACGTCAGACACCCTATATGCCATCAAGATTTTCAAGAAGAAAAATTCGATACGTATCGGAGTTCAAGTCCGATACGGGTCGGTACGTATCGCTTGTATATTGCACGTGTAACATCTTGAACGCTCAAAATTGACACGATACGTACCGATACCCTCCAAATTCTTTCTTGAAAATCTTGCATCATTAAAGACACTTAAAATATGAATAGTCTTGCAATCAAGAGAAATATAATTGATATAAAATTCCTGTATAAAGTGGTTAATGGACAATGGTTTCATTAGTTCTAGTTAATTACTTCATTATATACATTTCCAAGTAACCCACGTCCCACTCTGTCAAAATAGATGTAAAAATACTATTTATACGCAATCACATTGAGCTAATTATGTAATAAATACTCCTCGAATAGAATGGTGAGGTTGGCTAATACACAGGTAGATTTATTTAACTTAATTGAGTCATTTTATAATTATATTAGTAATTATTATGTATGAATTATGCATTATTAATACACCCTATATTATATGTTCAATTACTTTTATTTTTATAGGTACTTTATTAATTATTATATGCTATTTAATGTATCTGTTTATCTTACTCTGTTTAAATGTTGTATAATTTATATTATTGCACTTTAACTTTTTCTTTCGATCTCTCTAAATTATTTTCTTATTATGTTTCGATTTAAAACTGTATTAGACTTGTTTGAATAAATAAATAAATGAACCGTAACTTTTTATAAAATGCTATATTTTCGTCAAAAATAATTTAACCTACCGAAATATCAATGCCTAATTGTAAAATAAATTATTTAATGACGATAATATCATAAAATATACTTGGTAACGTACCTACTATTATTATAAAGTAGTCAGATCGTCTTCTTTCAGAACCGTTTTTCGTATACAACAAATTTATAACATTGCATTTAAATTTAACACATCCATTGCAGTGGCCCTTTAGACACCTAATGTACAGCAGAGCGCTACTAAAGCGTACTTTGTACGTAAAATAGAAAACTGAATCAATAATACAGCACTGTCCGATAGTGAGACTGGTTTGTCGGTCCTTTGGCGTTCCACATTAATTACGGTACAGTGAAGTACAGTAGAACCTCATTAATTCGGACTAATTGGGGCTCTAGGTTGTCCGAAATAATGAATGTCCGGATTAAATAGACTAATCAAAAATTGTAAATTATAATTAAAAAAAAAATTTATTGGATAAAAATGCATCATCAAGAAATTGATCTAGTGGCAACCGCATTCTTTTTACAACACTTGTTTCTTTTTCTACATTAAATTTCAAAACAAATTTTCTTACATCATCTTTTTATACTTCGTTTTCGTGTTTATTTTAATCTACGGCATAAACTAGCGTAATTTACGTATTATAAACGGCTGTCCGGACTAATGAGGTCCGGATTACTGAGGTTTTTACTGTACTGCTCGTAATCAGTGTTCTTTTATACACGAATAATTCTCGGACGACGTAATAGTTCCTCGGAATTGGCGATCGCGTCTTATATTCGTGGTAATACTCAATTATACTAATATCACATCACCTTCCATAGAAATGGCACCACATGAAAATGACAGGAATATATTTGGTACGAAAATGAGAGGTACCTACTTGGAAACTTTGGCAATATTATAATAATATAATCAGCCTAATGTCAGATCCTTCGACGTCGTTCCGTCGCGGGAGCGTGCAACTATAAGAAAGGTACCAATATTTAAAGTAGGTATTAATTTTAACTAATTTGATAATAGGTACGGATTATTATGTGTATAAATGTATAATATATTTTAAAGTGTTTACTTTTTTTTCCTAATATTTTTTTAATGTAAGATTACACTCGACAGAACTAAAGAACTTCAATAATACACGATTTTGAACGCAGTAACTCTAAACTCTGGAATATATTATATTAACATAATGTATATCAATAATTAAAATATTTGTATATTTCGGGACTGACAATAAATACCAAATAGGAATCTTATATTATCAATAAAACTACGGTCGTGTGTAATATCTGTCCCGATTTTTGCAGTCCCGAGTAATATTATCATAATAGATACTAATCCTATAATTTATAATATTACGGACATTTATTTGTATATAATTAATCCGAGGTTTTTACTATTCTTGTAAATATGATTGAACGAAAATACTATTTCTGTGCACTTTACCTTTCCCGAAATAATATAACATTTCTTAAGAAATATTGTTGCTATTTAAAATATCTTTCCAAACAAATTTTTCCAACGAACACTGATGTCTATAAATAATAAATATTTGGTTGCCCTTAAGGTCTACGGACGAGTTACGACGATCGGCATCGGTCGACGTTCCACTCCGAACGCTACGACCAATCACAGACGGCACGGAGGGCGTGGCTTAGCGTGTAACAACCAATAACAGATGACCCTTGGCGGAATCCCCGATTACTGCGCTGCGTACCGAAGCAATGGGTCTTAGACCGCGGATCACTATATTATAGGAATGAATTTAGTGAGCAGTCAGTAACTCTTTACACTCTTGGTCGTTGTTGACCTGTGGCACTCGGAGACGTTCCTTTTTTCTTTTGGACTTGTAAATATTAAAAAATTGTTGGTGTTTTCCTGGACAATATAAGTATTTCTGGAAATGTTTAACCGTTCCTAATTTTTAGCTTCAATTTTTTTGTACGGGGGCCTTTGTATTTCATAATGCTAGCCGCTTCAAAAAACTGATCCTTGGACTTATGGTGTACCAGGCCGACACTGCTCGCGGTGAGTTACGGGAACACTTTCAGAACAGAACCGAACAATTACAGCCCACTTGATAGCCGAACAGCTAGTCGGAACAACTAAATGCAAGTAAGTACCCAACAATTTAATATTATAGCACAATTATATGGATTTGATTTCCGTGGGCCGTATTAGTAGAGGGGCTTGTTTAGTTTTTTGAATATAATATTTCCGTTAGTTTTTTTTTATTTTAAGATTAGGACTTAACGGTATAGGATATTAGCCTGTCATTAAATTTTACTTAATCATCATTATTTTTTTTATTATAAATAATAGAGCCTCGGGAGCTGTGGCCATTGGTCTGACAGTAACTAAGTTTAATTTAGTACATACATTAGTACAATACAATGCTTTAATTAAGGTTTATGTTTTTTGGTAGGAAATCGATTTTAGTAGACAATTAATTAATAAATAGCGTATGGATCCGGACTAAGAATTTCATATAATTTTGTAAAGCATAGAATTTTCTCGAATGAATAACTACGTTTTAGAAATTTATGTCTAATTTATTTTTTTTCATTTTTTTTTTCAATTACATATTATTAAATTTACAATTTTTGAAGTGAATAATTCATAGACGACAGCGTACCGCTGTAAACACGTATATATATTTTTTAATTTCGACTTGAAAATATTTAATCAACTAAATATAATTATAATAACGTACCTCCATCGGTCCATCCTACGTTTTGTGAAAAATCAGAATATTTTGTCAAAATTGCGAATCGATAAAATCGTTTTGACGTATTGAAATTAGTGTCTGTTAGCGTGAAAAATAAGAAAACATATGCTTAGATTACATTTATACTTAAGATTTTGTTACAAAAGATTCCTCGGTTACTTAGGTAATATTTTTCTAAATTATAATTAACGTCCTACTACCTAGCTATTGAGATTTAGACTTATTCGACGGTCGACAACCACCAGTCTAGTTAGATTTTATTATTTTAATCCCCATCAGAATTAAAAGTTATTCACTTCTGCCGTGTGCACTGTGCACTGACACACACACTCGTAATTATTTTTCCATAATATTTTACTTACAATTTTTTTATTATTGAGCGTTTCAGCTATGTTGAAGATTGTGCGTTTAGGTCTGGATGGTTAGGTCTATTGACATATTGTACACACTTATCCTTACTTACTTAAGTTTGATAGCATGTCATGCTTGAGCTATGTGTCGCATATTGCAGTGACCGATTCTGCTATGGATGATTGAGTTGTCTTGTTGTCGATTGAAAGTAGTATGAGTGATCTTTGATTGTACTTTTTTTAATATTTTTGAGTTTTTATCGAATTCTGGTGATTTTGCCAAACATTTTTTTTTTTTGATAGAATTTTAAAAGCCGATTGTGTATGTTTGATTTGAAGTAGTTTTCGATGCTTAATCGGCATATATGTCTGCATTTTCGTTTTCAATAGCTTTTTAAGTGCTTAAAGTTCATATATATTTTGAAGAATATACATACGAGTTTTATAGATGTTTTTCCGTTTGACTTTTGTTCTGGTTTCTTAACAACAACTTGAGCATTTCATTTATGTATATTTTTTTGTTGGTTTGACGACTCTTAGTTATATTATCACGTATTTTAAATTCGTTTTTTGGCAACTATGGTTCATATTTTGTCTCAAAATTCTTAATGTTCAAATATTGTTGTAGGTTTTTTCTGTTGTTCATTTTTCGAAACTCACTATGCATTCAATTTTTAAATTCTATAATAGATTGTATATTCGTAAAAATTCTTTGGAATTACGTTCTGACGAAGTGGTCGGGCTGTTGGGTACGACAGACTTAGCTCGCAAATGGCAAAGTTCCAGTGACTTCTGAGTTCCGCACGGCGATCGTCCGACGGGCGACCTCCTGGCGTGCAGCTTTTATAGTCTGACAACGCCTCTGTCCGAACCCGGATCCGATTAATTCGGTGGCGTCAATGTCGTGGAATGACATACAAATCTATTCGAATATATTATTTGGATGCTCATCTGATTTATTTTGGTTTTGATGACTTCGTTATATTATCATTCATTTTCAAATCATTAAATTTTAGCAAACATTCTTCATTATGTGTAGTTCATATTCCTAAACAGATACCGTTAGAATTGTTTTTTCGTTTCCGTTCATTTTTTTAAACCGTACCATATCAAGTGTTCAATTTTAAATTCTTTAATAGATTGTATATTCGTAAAAATTCTTCGGAATTACGTTCTGGCGAAGTGGTCGGGCTGTTGGGTACGATAGACTTAGCTCGCAAATGGCAAAGTTCCAGTGACTTCCGAGTTCCGCACGGCGATCGTCCGACGGGCGACCGCCTGGCGTGCAGCTTTGATGGTCTGACAACGCCTCTGTCCGAACCCGGATCCGATTATTCGGTGGCGTCAATGTCGTGGAGTAACATACAAATCTATTCGAATATAATATTGTTTGAATGCTCATCTGTGTTTGTTTTCTTTGCGTTTGATGACTTCGTTATTTTATCCCTTATTTTCATATCATTATATTTTGTCGTTATTAAGTCTGGTTCGTATTCTCAAAAAAAAATTATTGTTGGAATTTTTGTAGATTTGTCTCTGTTGTTCATTTTTTAAACTTCCCTTCATTGTGCATTCAATTTTTAAATTCTATAATAGATTGTATATTCGTAAAAATTCTTTGGAATTACGTTCTGGCGAAGTGGTCGGGCTGTTGGGTACGACAGACTTAGCTCGCAAATGGCAAAGTTCCAGTGACTTCCGAGTTCCGCACGGCGATCGTCCGACGGGCGACCGCCTGGCGTGCAGCTTTGATGGTCTGACAACGCCTCTGTCCGAACCCGGATCCGATTATTCGGTGGCGTCAATGTCGTGGAGTAACATACAAATCTATTCGAATTTAATATTATTTGAATGTTCATCTGTGTTTGTTTTTTGCGTTTGATGACTTCATCATATTAACTTCATATTATCTTTTAGCTGCTAGTCGTCATTATGTCACGTTCATTGTCTCAATATATGTACCGTTAAAATTGTAGGTTTTTTCTGTTAATTTTTTTAACTCTGCCACTTTGTGCATTTCATTCATAAATTCTTTAATAGATTGTTTGAAATAGTAAAGGGTAATTATTAATTATTATGAATTGTATACATTTGATTCAAATGTTGTAGTTGGCCCGGACCTGGACATTTCGCCGCCGGACGTTTGGCCGCCACATTTTCGGTAGTGATATGCTTTTGAATGATAAGAGTGGTTATACTATGGTCACGATTATAAAGAATCTTTATAATCGTGACTATAATGGTATAACAGCCGTTACACTGTGACCAACTTTAGGTGGTGTTGCAGAGCAAGTCGAGTGATATTTTCGATTTGCGGAGCGGAGCGACGGCGCCGAGGAGCGTAGCGACGAGTGCCGCTATCGAGGCATCACTGTAAATTATTTCGTATTGGTGGTGTCGCTGCTGGATCTCTATTATATTCTGGTACGAGTTGTGGTGGTATATTTAACTACGAAACGTCCGGTGGCGAAGTGTCCTAGACCCTAGTTGGCCGGCTTCAGTTCATGACTTGACAGTGTTCGATTATAGAAATCAAGAGCACATTATCAGAATATCGAATTTTGAGAAGTTCCACTTTTAGTCGATTGAGCCATGGAGATCTCTTGCTAACTATCATCGGAGCAGAAATACGTAAGAAATAATAATAAAAAAAAATAAATAAATTGGTAAGAAAACAAACTACAAGCATTATTATAATATGTTCTTTTAATTAAAGCAATATATTTTTAATATTTTCAGAAATGTATCAGAACGATCAAAATACAAAATAGTTCTTGAGAAAAAGTCTGTTCCCTACTCTATTATCTATTGGTATTCGGATCTAAATACCTGGAACGACTGCCTACGATCATCACCTATTACAACAACAGTATTACAATAATATGTTAACAAATCTAATGCCTTTTAAATTACTTGTTCCTTATGGAAATTTGCATCGACAAATTTTTACTTTGGTAATATGCAGATCATTAATTGAAACTATTTGTAATTTTGACGCCATACTTGCGTGCCTTGTCTGCATCTTACAAACACATTGTATAATAAATTATGCGTTCTGAATAACTAATTGAATTCTTTTTGACCTATTATCAAATTTAAAAATAAGAATATTTCCAGTCAATGTCATAGTTTTTTTTAAATATCTATTTCAATTTTTAAGGTACTGTTTTAAGATTGTACATTGTTTTAAAATTCTCATAACTCACTTTACATTAAAATATAAAAAAAAACCTTTATCATTGTCTAAATATTATTTATAATATTAATATTAATATTATTAATATCAATAATATTCTTACTACTAAATATGATAGTTGGTCAATTCACTCAAAGATAACATAAGGTACATAAAAACATAACAGAGTTAAATGAACTATTCACAACGCATACAATTAGCTATGTTAAGCGTTTGTAAGACAAGGTCAAATAAAAGCACTATGGCGTTCTTTTAAATGTGTTTTTATTTATTTATTTTATAAAATTCAATTGTCCTTCATCCAGACATGTAGTTATCACAAGGTCTCGGATTGGACACACCCATCTTGCACCTTATAACTAAAGAAGACTGCCTGACCTGTGAACTCTGAGACAAAGAACTGACGATCAAACGCATCACACTAGAATGCTTCAAGTTTAACATCTCCAGACAAATCCTCGGAAATCATCGATGAAAGCACTTTGAAGAAGAGAACTCCAAATATATATGCAATTTCTTCACAAACATAGGCTTAGCAAAATTTATGTAGTATAAAAAAAAATGTTCATAATATACTTCACATGTCTCCCTATAAGATTAATACTTTATAATTTATCATAGGCTAATGAGGCTAATCTCAGGAGATGTTGAATCCTTTTAACCTAATAAAAAAAATTCAATTGTATCATTGTATCAATTTCAATATTTAAAATAAAACAAAATAATTCCTTTGAAGTATGTACAATTATATACAGTTTTATAATAACTGAACCATCCCATCACTTGCTTAAAAAGGGATAATATTTTAAACTTAATATGTTACAAATTTGAATTTATTAAAAATGGGATGTATTTATTTACTAAAAAACGGGTACAGTTATGTATAGATCTAGATACCAGTTCTCGTGGTTGTAGTAAGTGATCTTCTATAAACTGTTTACAAATGGCTACTTAAAATTATTTTCCTGCACTTAAATTTATGAAAAGAGAATGGTGCATAAAATATTTATAAATATTTAATTTTTTTTAAAAATGTGGCGAGTGGTGGTTCATTGATATTACATTATAGGTGACTGAGGGATCACTATAATGGTTCTGTTGAAACTGCTGGTTTATTTGTTGGAAGATGCAGTAGCACAAATCATTTTATTTTTGGTCTTGTTGAGAATACTTTTCAAATATATTCTGTATAACTTAAAAAGTAATTGAATACTTGGTGTAATTTATAATTGAAATATGTATAATAATACAAATAAGTTTTAAAAGATTTGTATTTCAATGGATGTTAAGTGTGGATTTTCTGAAAGTACAAAAAATTCATAAATTGTTGTGTGTTTGAATCCTGAGAATGTACTCTCCACTAGATCTTCAGAAAGTTGAACTTGCATAAGCTGGGTCATTTTAATTTGGCTTTAATCAGCTTTATTATATAACTAAAATAGTAGTTTAATTTTATCTAAGGTGTCTTAGTTACTAAGTCAAGATAATTTGATTTACAGTATAAGTTCTCGAGTTATTCATTATAAATAAAATGTATCAAAAATATTGATAATATCAAAACAATTTTCTTTATTCTAGTTACTCCTAATTAATAAATCATCTCTTCTGTTGATTTTTCTTCTCAACTTATCTTACATTTATTTTTTATTTAAGATTCATTTTTGCTTCCCTTAGATTAAATTAATTTTTGATTTCTTATTATTAGGGAGTACTTGTCCTTAGAATTTTCACAAATTCCATGTAAGTCATATGTCTGTTAATCCAATTTTAGAAGTTATGGTTATATTAGGTATAAAAGAGTAACAGTAATATAATCAGGATTCATTATCAGAGGGCAGTTATGAATTTTCAAAATACAAAATATAACTACACCTGAAATACTGAAAAAAATATTTCATCATACTACAAATTACTTTACCTTGAAAATGTACATCGAATAATCCATAAAATATAAATTTAAAATAACACTGACCCTAAAACTGCACCTTGCTGAACAACATAAGTTGTTTATTTTTTCTTTACTTAAAACATTTGTGATTTATTGAAAAATAATGGTTTTAATAATTCTCTAAAGGTTCATAAATACCACAATATTCTTTTTATCAAAGAATCAAAAATTGTTTTACAGTTTATCCTTAAAGTTGATATTTACAAAAAAATACGTTGTTAATACATTAAAATAGCATGGTTAGAAGAAAAGCTTTGCCTAAAACCATACTAATTAGGACTAAAAAAAGATCATTTTCAAGAAATGCCACTAACTTATGTTAAATATTCACCTATTTTGTAGTTAAAAATGTATAGAATGTTAAAATGCTAAATTTTGATAGCCAAGACTTGTAAGTTTAATACAGGGTGTTCCGTTCCTCAAGCATTCTAAACTAAAATCGATATTTAAGAAAATTACTGGCTCAATTATTCTTTATATTATTTTATTCATTTGAAGTTCAGTTTATTGAAAGTCAAAATTATTATTAGTTGAAACTTACAACTTTAAAGTACATTACAAATTTTACTATACTAGTATACCGTATAAGCAAAAACGTTTTCAAAATGTTTAGATTCACTTTTAAGCAAGATTTTAAGCTGATCCCTGTTTATAAACCGGTATGTTAATAATAGGTATTGCTTCAAAAGTCAATAATAATATGATAAGAATCCACTCTTAAAATAATTAAATATTAAAATATAATAAATGCCATGTTTTCAGCAGAAAATTGAATCACTACCAATGGTAAAATTAATTACTTTAATAGGAGTTTAAAAATACATACCTATTATATCTTGAAATATAGGTATTTGATGTAGGCTGAGACTATCTCTTCTCAGAATAGTTTTCGTTTGAAATAATTTATTATTGAACTCAAATTTAATGTCAGGTTAACACATTAATTACACTATTACAGTGACTGAGTGACCCACAACGACACTACATCAGAAATCTAAGAAAAAGAGCCCCTAAATGAAATTATGGTAAAAAAAAAGCCGCCTCGGTAATAGGAAAAAAAACGCTTCATAAACAAACACTAAACATTCAATGATTTTGCTCTAGATCTTCCAAATTTCCAATATTGTTCAATGAATTATTGAACAATTTATGAATTTTGTTAAAATTTTAAAACCATCGTATTATGAAATAGAAATAAAAATATGAAATAGACCATGATGTATTAAAAATATACCTAACCTTCCTAAGTTAAGTTTGTAAGTAATTTCACCTAATTTATTATACTACTTAGTATATTTAGGTGATCTATATCGATTCTTATTAATATATAAATGTATTATATTATGATATAATACAGACATACATTTATAAATCATATAAATATATTTATATTTATATAAATTAAATATTTAGTATACAGTATTTAGTATTATACGGTGTTTAGTTTACATATTACATACACTAAATAATAATGTGCTTAACTTCAAATTTCAGCAGTTTATTATCCAACTTTTTACTAAAACAAAATTCTAATTGGTAAACAATATTTAAAATATTTAAGCTTTAGAGTTAAGGGACAAAATGGTGTTTTACTGACTATATACCTATCAGTAGTGGCACGTGAGAAATGTAGTAAAAATTTGAATTTCAAACGACAAACGCTCATAAAAAATTAATGGACAGTGTCTACAATTGTTTAAAAATAAACGATAATTTTGTCTTGTATTCCATATAAAAAATGCTAATGTATTTTTTTTCTGACGCATTTAAAAACTACTGTGAATTTTCAATGTTGACTTCTTAAAAGTATAACTCTATTCATTTTTCCATCAGAAAAAATACTGTTTAAAAATTGAAGTACTTTTACTAAGTACTGAAAAAATGTTTACAAATAGGAAAAAAAACAACTATTTTTCATCGCGCCCCGTAAAAATATTTCAAATACCTTAATCACCCACTAGAAACAAAGACAATATGAATATTATAAGATAGTATATTTCCATACAAATGTTGAACCTCTATTTTTATTTTTTTGGATTAAGGCTTCAACTACTAAGGTCAATAGCCTGGTACTGTGTCGGAGGGAAGGAGTAGGTTAGAACAAGTTTGTATGTGTGGCAAGTATGTGTTGCTAAAAACCTGGGTGGTCACCCATCCGAGTGTTAGCAACGATGGCCGGTACGTACGCTCAGAGCGTTGTCGCAGATTCAGTACAACCTCGCTTTACCAAGCCACCAAACCTCTATAATAATGTAAAAAAAACTGAGTTAAATTAAATTCTTTTTTTTATAAAAATGATTAATTACTTAAATAGTAAATATTAATAAAAATAAATTAATAATGTTTGTTCTAGAACAGGTATCTAAACCAGCGATGGGTTTCTAATTTATTGTAGATAGTGATGTCCCCATGCTTGCACCCACTCTTGAAACATCCAAAATATTAATCAATTTCATCTACGAAACAGAACTGAGCCTTCTCATTTACAATTATTAGGTACCTAAGAAAACAATGTACTATGTACATATATAAATATATTTAGAAATAATTAAGTAATTTAATGCAAATTAGTTTAATGTGATTTCTTTCTTTTTCCAAAGTAAAAAGAAAATGTAAAGCCGTTTATTAACCTTGTTGATGCCTCTAATAAAAAAAAAAATTACCTACAAGTAATTGGTCATTGTAGACAATATGTAACCACAATATAGGTATGCTTACAATATAAAACATAAGTCATAATGATATGAATAATTGTATATTTTTATCATTATTATTTATTGTAAGTTCATGCCTTAAAAATGCCTTAATCAGTATTCAGTGCACTAATGCAATATAAACTGGCAAAATATGCATTGAAAAGTTTGAATTTAAACGCACTAAAAGTCTAAAACTTAGAGCAAAAAATAATTGGATTGAAGAAAGAAGATATCAAAAGCAGCTTTTAAAATAACACTAAATATTCACTAATATTTTTGACCACTCTAAATTGTGACAATTATCATACACTTTATACAGTAAAAAATATACATTATAAACGAAATAGTTTTTTGTTCATCATCATAAGATTATGGACACAAATAATATTTATTTTTGGTACTATTCTAGATTTAAGAAATTATTGTCAAATACCTAATACTATTTTAATTGAAAATATTCAAAGTCCTTATAAGAGTACCACCTATGCTTTTTTCAATGTAGTCATCGACGACCAGTTAATGCTGGGTTACAGGCCTACAGTCAGGCAACACCTGTTCGTTGCCCTCACTGAGTCAACTCAACTATCGGTACACTTGCCGTGTTGTATTGTCATGCCCCTCCACACAAGTTAGCCCCCAAATCAGCCAGAGTATGAGTATAAATTATTTGCAATAAACACAAATGAATTATTGAAGGGCGTAAAAATATAATTTAACTGCAATATTATTGCAATAAAACTTCATTACTTAAGACCAAGTTTATAATCTTATACAATGCTTTAATATGCAATTTAAAAAAAAAATGTTTATAGCATTCCTTTAATTACTCAGTGAGGTATATATACACTTGCGTATTATAATGTAATAATATTGCATTTATTAAGGTTAGGAATATAATATAAAGATGACAATATCATATTAAAACATAAAAACAATCTTACTTAGGCTTTTAAAATTAACTGGTTTTTATTTTATTATTTTTAAAAACTTAAGTCACCCTACACTTAAATACGTAACTGTAAAACAAAACATTTGATAAATATATAGGGCACGAGGGAACAGCGAGTTTTATCAAAATAATAATAAAAAAAAATGTAAATGTTCAAAAAAAAATTGTCTGGGTAGTGTAATATTAAAATTAATATTTTTACTCACATTACACAATTATTCCAAAATATGTTAAATAAGCTGAATATAACTATAAATACCTCTAATCTTAAAATATCTAAAAAAATTAAAATAAAACTTTTTACATTGAACTCAGAATTGAACAAATCATTCACATTTTTGTATCTTATAAGACTTATGCAGTCTTAGTAAGTAATTATTTAAATAATTATCTCAGCTTAGCAGCGATCTGTCAAAACATATAATTCCAATCTTTACTCATTAAACATTTTGCCATTTTGGTACATTGAGAACAAGGCCCAGAGATTTTCTTCATGACACTAAATGAAAAAAAAAACATTGGGTGATTAAATACTTGTTAATTCATGGCTATATTATAAGTATTCTATGTTATTTTTACGTTGTTTTTCTTGTTTTTCATTTAATTATTCAAGAATAGTTGTATTATTATCTTTTTTTTTTAATTGGACTTGCCTCATTTAAAACTTAAATAAATAAATATTAATAATAAATAGATATCTGTTGTATATCACCCCAAGATAACAGCCATTAACCTTAGCTAAATAAAAATATATAATTAAAAAAAAAGCATTAGGATTAACAATATGAATACATAATACAGAACACATCATAGTGTATTAGTTATAGTTAAGGTTAAAAAAAGAAAAACTTTAATAAAAATTAGTAAATTAAAAGGTCAAAATCAAATTAGTATGTAAACTAATTTTATTATTATTTTCATACATTTTATTTTCAACCCTAAAATAGATTAGTCTATTTTAAATTTTAAATTTTATTTGCTAACTACTATATTAAATATATGTATACTATTGATATTGTTATCAATAAGTGTTACTAATTAGTTTACTTCTATAAATTGTATTATTTTAAAATTAAATTCATTTTTTGTTATCACATGTAACAGTTAAGAAATTTGATAAATATAATAAATATTTTAGTCTAGTGAAATGTCTATTAATGTAAGCTCTCCGAGCAGCTGCACCAATAATCTCTCTATTTTCATCATTCAGAAAATGATTTAATTCTTCAGTTTCATCTTCAACATAAAATTTCGGTAGTCTTAGTTTTAAACTTATGTTATATAGTACAGCACAAGCTACAATTATTGAAACTATTCAACTATTGTGTTTGGTGAATTTGCTAATCCTTTCCTTAGACATGGAAATTTTCTTTTCCACACACCAAATACTCGCTCTACAATATTTCTGGTTTTGATATGAGCTTTATTTTAATTTTTCTCTGCATTTGTTACTGGATTAAGTAAATGTGTAAATAAGTTAGGTTTGCATGCATATCCAACACAAATGTGTTAATTATTTATCAATTACTAGCTGCCCGATCTTCCTCCGGAAGAAATTATTTTTTTAAAATTTAATTTAAAAACATAAGACTATTTTTTGGCTATACAAATAATACAGCGAAAAAAATTAAAAAAAAAAAAAGAAACAAAAAGAAACAGACGTCGTTATCGGTGAATATATGAAAATAATTGGTAATTAGTTAATTATCATTATTATTATGAGGGTTCAAAACCGGTTTCCTTTGTCTCCAAAATCAAGTTAAATTCTTATATATATATATATATAGATTAAAAATAATATAGTATATTATTATTACCATTGTCTCCCAGAAGTATAAGATTATGATTATTGTTAGAATATACAGCACATGCATGACTGGCATTGAAAATAAAGCTATCACGGTAACTGGCCATCTAACCACCAAATCATGTATGTCCATCAATGGACCACAAACTAACTACAATATTTTTGGGTTGAATAAATAAATATGATACTATCATTATATTGTTTAAGTACTTGAACATTCAAAGAAAACTATCCTTTACGATTCCTGAATACTTTTCCATTAATACCTCCTGGATTTTGTATTCTTATATGTGTACAATCAATGCATCCTCCTACACCAGGCATTCCAGCTATTTCAAAAAACTGTTGTCTAATGACTGTCCATTCAGCTTCAGTTTGGGAAAACTTTATATGATCCTTAAAACTACTAGCAATCTGATTAGCATTCTATGATCATTTGTTATGAAGATAATGTAAGTTTAAGTTTAAATTTGGCTACTAAAGTTTCTAAACGTTACTAAACATTAACTAAACGCATTTCTGCATTTAAAAGCAAATATTATAAAAACAATATTTTTAGTAAAATATTTTGAATTTCCTAATTAATACTATAGGCTCGTATAATGTATGAATAATATGAATTTAAAATAAATTAAATTACTGGAAAATGTTTAAAAATGCTCTAAAATTTTAAAATAAAAGTCTGAGGTATTTTTATATGAAACAAAATATATGCATGTCCTTTACTCTAGATTGGATAGACTAACCCAAAAAATATGCCCTCTGCATTGAAATCCGGTCCATACTTATAACTTATAAGTAATTGTGTACTAACAAACTTCTATTCATATTCAACAGCCCTTTTATGTTTAATTTGATAAGAGGCAATTCACTTTCAGTCCGTTTATCAAATGATACATCCCATGCACATCAAACATATTGTTCCATAGTTCCCTTACCAAGTCAACAGGTAAGACCAGTTCTTTGGAACAAATCCACAACCATGCTTGGAAACTGGACGCTGTGGTATGTTCTTAAGTTGAACAGAGTATAGGCAAAATTGAAAAATCTAAAAAAGAAAAAAAACATTGTGTCAACAATTTCTATGATATAAATGTTAATCGTTTTTAAATTGTAATTACTAGTGCTCGGGACTTCTAGGAGTTTGCATGTTTTTAAATAATCATTAAAAACATAGCGAAGTAAAATAGAAATTTGTTTCACAGCAATACAAGTTTATATTTAAAATGTATAGTTGCATATTTGACCATATTTCATTTATAAGTGCATATTTGACCATTTTTCATTTTATTAGTGCACATTTGACAATATTATTTATACGAGGAGTAAGTTTTTAGTTTTATAAAAAAAAATGTATTTTTAATAGATTTCCTGGACCGGATATAAATATTTAAAAATTAATGTTTACGTTTTTCTTGCCTATCATTATAACTGTATTGTTATTTATCGGTATACTACACTTGTGATTCCCGATAGGCAATAAGCCGATAATGATACCAAAAAAAACATTTTATAGACTATGACTAGTTGTAGATAGAGGCCAGATGGTCCCTTGAATAGTTGAGTAGTAATAGTTGACAGTTGGTGTTGTGCGTTCTTCGTATTTTGGTTTTGTGAAGTGTTTATTCTTTCGAGTGAGCCCATAATAAAATAATTAAAAAATGCCTAGCTTAACAATTTTGTAAAAGAATATAATTTTTTTTAAATGCATATTTATTGATTCTTTAGGGCATAAATGCATGTATATTTTAAGGTTTTAAAAGGCATGAAGTCCCTAGCCCTAGTAATTACGTTTCCATTGGATAATAATGTATTGACTGTGGCCATATCGGACCTAGAAACAGATGAAATCATGAGGGGACTTCTGGCCATTGAAAGCGTAAAATCTTTTAGATTTGGACACCATCGATATAACATTTTACTCTTAGCGTAACTGAAACTGTTGCTATAACATTTTTATAAATTTTAACTATTAAAACTCTACAGTCAAATCAAATTTAAACACACAGATCATTAATACATGTTCAAATCTATTAAGGTCAATCGACTTATCGTTAATATTTTAAAAAACACAAATGAGTGACAATAGATATGGATTTATTAGCAAACATATCAATTTGGAAATTAATGATTGAAAACAAATACTAAAATATTTATAATTTAAATTAGGAACTTACCACTATTTTGTCTGGTTGTCCTATTTATTGTAACTAACTGGCCTTGAAGTTGTTTTAGTTTGTTTTTTAGTGACATTGGTAGATTTTGTTAAATACTGTTCAACAATCTGTAAAATGAATTAATAATAATTACTTCTGAGAATACCATTTATAGAATGATATAGTATTATTTGATTAAAATAAAATAGTTAGTTATCTTAAGTTAATTACATTCTATAATCAAATAGGTTTAAAGAATAATGTTATGGAACTCACAGTATCTTAAAGGTTACTAGTGAGTGTTCTCAAATCAATTTTTGTCATTGAAGAAGCATTTACGATTACATTTTTTTGGCAACTGACTAAGTAAGTTTGTCAAAAAAATAATCTTCAATATTTTGATCTGAAAAATAAAAAAAACTGACATAAATTAAATACACAGGTTGGATAATAGGCACAATTGCATTCATTGTACTTTCTTTATAAAAGTTGCTCAGAATTTTTTTCATATTTTCAACTGGTTTGCACTGGTCACATTCACAGCAGTCATATTCATATCGGCAGATGAACGCTTGTCAGTTTTTCTCAAAATCAACCAACATTCTACAGCAAATGATTTCTGTCTGAAATCTAGAAACATCGAAACAGTTTGTTGTAATTAATGATCATCAACTACTGACAAGTATGCTACTAAATATTGGGTTGTAACTCACTCGTGGTAATTAACTTGTACTAGTGTACTAGCCACTGGGACTAGGAAATCAATTGGTAATTAAACTGCGTATCAAGCAGTCAAAGAAAACTATTTTCTCCAGCGTTGTAGGTTTCAACTTCCAAACTGAAAAGAAAAAGAAAAATGTTGAGCATCAAATAAATGTGACAAAGCGTGTAATTGGGCTTGTTAAGCATGGCTCCATCCATAGTATATGACCAAGGCTGTAACTAAGGTTCGGGTTTTTAAAGGTGACTAATTTAAATTGTAGGCATACTTATGAACTTAATATTTTTATTAATTACTTAATATTATACCAATACATATCCTAATTGCTATATGTTGTCATTTAGAATACACATCAGTTTAATTTAATTTATTTTAAAATTTTGAAGTGATTTATTCTAAATTGATTAAACCAAACTACACTACTGATATCAATGAATATAATAAAAATAAATAATTAAAAATAAATCCCTAAATTATTGGTAGCTACCCACATTTTAATATTAAAAAATTGAAGAAGGTAAATAAAACAAGTATACTGAATGAAATGAAATAACTTGATGGGAAGAAACGGAAACTCGGTCATATGAAATCTTCCTGTTGTTTTCAATAATTTTCATATTTTTCTGTTTTATTAGCCCACCTCATTAAGTTATAGTGTTATTATACATAGATGTACCTACTGATGTACATAATATATTTAATATAATTATTTATAATATTAAATATATTAAAGAGTATCACAGCAAGCTACAAACCTCAAGTCTATATTGCAGTTCCTGTATTGAATTTAAAACCATCAGAAGATCGAACAGCCACAATAAATCTTGATATTACTGAGTCATTCTCCAGTCTGTTTATATTGATAGCGCATGTATGTTATTTTGTAATATAAGATTGAAATTCGAAGTGAATCTAAAATATTATAGTCAAACGAATATTCAACTATCCAACTAGTTTTCCATAAACCAAACAGCTAGACAGGAAATGTCATTTTTATATTCATCATCAATAATGAAAAGGTATTTTATATATTTTCGTAAATTATGATAATAGGATAACAAATTATCAGTTATACCCCATAGAGTAACTATGACCATGGTTTGGTTTTTACCGAGGTGGATTCAGGGCCGGCCTGTAGTGAGTTGTATCGTCAACGGTTACACTTTGATTACCCTTAATCAGCTGATAACAGATTTTATAACCGGCCAAATTTGGCCGATTGAACTTCTGTTAATTTTAATCGGAGTCTTCCGTGTTTCTTACAATATAGATTATTGTTTAAATATATTTGTCAATTTAAATTTCAGATTTTTGTGAAGAACCCTGAACCAGACTGTTTGGGCGATACTCATTACGGTTGTAAGTTCGCTCTGAACTTTGGAAGCAAGATTAGTCAGTCTATGAAGATGGCTTCCATACATAGTGGGACTGGGTATAGGTATAAAAAAAAGCAAGTAACTTGTTATTATTATCTGCCATTTCCCATCTCGGTTTTATTAATATTTGGGTGACTTCTAGGTATCTGCTGTTGTACCTACTATAAGTGAAAAACCAGTATTCAATGATATTGAAGAAGGGTGTGCTCAATACGTTGCTGGTTATGTTGCAAATCGATACTCAAATAAATATCCCTATTTATCAAAAATAAATTGTAATGATACAAATAACTGGACAACCTACATTTCTAAAGGGCATTTGACAATACCATCAGAAAATCTTTTTAAAGCTGTTTTGCAAATAGAACGTGAATTTAAAATACTACACGGTGAAAGTTTATCAAAATCCCCATATGTTTTTAAAACATTATATGAGATCACAAAACCGAAAATTGAGAAACTTAATGTACCTGATGAAGTATTACACTGCCTTATTAGAACACGAACATATATCAGATTAAATAATTTAAATAAACAATTAATCACAAAACAACAAAAACAATCAGACAAACTGAAAAAAATTAAATTTACAAATTAATAATACTTTAATAATTATGTACACCTATATTAACCTATGTACATATGTAAATAACAATAAATAAAAATAAAAATTAGTTTAAGTATTAATTGTTATAAGAATATGAACTTAAGTCTTATGAATTGTAAATAATATTTAAATACATTGCAATTTGTATTTAGTACTATAGTAGTATAGTCTATAATATATTTTGTACTTTTGTAGTAATGTAGTATTGTACTATTGTCTTGTCTATCAAAAATTCAAAACTAGCAAACAAAATAGTTAAAAACGAGATAAATTAACAACCAATCAGAAGCGGAGAACTACGCGATAGACGAGGTAAGGGGTGGTATGCGTATCACAAAGTTGTGATCATACCTATTTATTTAGTCATGAGTAATAATACATTATTTTGCTATAACTTACGGATTTACGACAGCCAAATTGGTAAGTGTTAGATTTTTATCCATTAAGAATTAAGAAATTTAATTTTTAAGAATTTGATATTTTAAATGATCAAAACGTTAAAGACGAGGTTCATTTAACACTTTTTAGTAAATATCTCTTGAAAAATATCAGCTTTTCCACAGACTTGTATTTATTTATATGGCGGCCCATTGGTTAACTTGAAAAAATGTTCTTTTAATCTGATATCCAATTAGTAAATGCTTCTAGACATCAAGCTTAGGCTTCGTCATAGTATTTGAAGTTTTTAATGATATACCTACAAAATTAATGTTCTGGATGTTCAGAATATTTTAGAAATTTATAAAATATCTACTGCCTTCATTAAATTTATGTTATTCAAGTTATTTTATTTAAACTATTATAACTAAAAACTTTCAATAAATATAGTCTACCAATGTTTAATATTATGGTCCCAATATTAGACAACAATGTATGTGTGAAGCCAATAGTGGTTTGATTTTTGTGTCAACTATATTATACATTTTATGTACAATTTGAAATATGCCAGACTAAACAGATGTCAAAAAAACACAGAGATGATTGAACAAAATCGTTTACATAGTACATTATGA